AACAGGCTTCACATCCTATGAATATACACTATGAAAAAATTGGGATGGGAGAATAGAACGAAGAAAATATTATCAAATCAGAAAGGAAAGGAAAGAAATAAAAAAAATAGTAGGAACACAAATGTATGTATGCAGCAAAGGGAACTAAATAGGCAAAAGGCAGCAAAGGACTGAAATATTGAGATGAACTATATTTAGCAGTCCTTTTGCATATGTTTTTAATATTTTAGGCCATAACTGGTTTATGACCATTTCAAGTGGTGAAAGAAAAATATCAGTATAGAATGCCGGTAGACAGTATAAACTCTATGGGGAAATGGGTCAATTGGTTTGGAACTGAACAATGCTGGAGCAGACGTGGGGCAGGAAAATTTCTGCTCTTGGTGAGAAGCTTAGGCACATAGGCAGAAGTGCTCAGAAGGCAATGTTGCTTTTGTAAGCTTTCAGCCAGAATTAAACTCTATCCGTCCATCTGGAAATAATGAGGAGATCCTAACTCCAAATTCTTGTCATAACCCGGCCTGTGGTTTAATTTCATAATTTTACGTTAAATTGTTATTTTCTTGAGAAACTTACTGCCTTTGAGCATCAAATTTACAAACGAAGACAAAAGGTCTCCTCAGCCTTTAGGATAATTGGAAATTTGGAAAATAAATAGCATTATTTTTTTGATTTTATTCCACAAATAATATTAGATTTGCCAAGATATGTTGAAGGCAAAGCTAAACTTGCAGGCTATTCTGGTACAAATATAATAGAAATGCAAATAAGACTATTTCCCCCACATTCATCACATGAACAATGAGCTTGAAAATTAAACCATCCTCTACACTTTGTAAAATTCGTAACACTCTACTTGGAAAGCATTGCCACGGAATGGTTTAGATATAATCTGGTATTACCTTAAGCAAATAGATTTTTTTTAAAATCTTCAAATGGCATGTACAAATGATAGCAATACTTCTGACCTAATGCTCCAGGTAAGAAAATGTTGAACACTTGGTTCCAGGTTCTTCTACTGGTACATGCTTATCTCAGGTAGAATGAAACCATTTTCTACAAAGATGCTAGAACCTAATCCAAGTGAAGTTCTTCAACTGCTTCATATCCAGCCTTCCAAGAAACATTGAAAAATCTGCATTTTTAATGATTAAAACTTTATATAGAGAGGATTTTTTTTCCTTTTACCACTTTACAGTTCAGTTCTTTCTCTGCTTTGCTACTCTCAATTATTGCATTTCTTTTCATTAACTCCTGTGAAGAATTTTCAATACAAAGGGAGGCTTATTACAGGTCCTCAACTTACGACCACAACTAGCTGAAAATTTATATTGTTAAGTGAGAAATTTGTTAAGTGAGTTTTGCCCCATTTTACAATTTTTCTTAACATATTTGTTAGAATAGAATAGAATAGAATTTAGAAATAGTGTGGTTGGACACATAAGGAATTTGTCTTGGTGCAAACACTCTCAGTACACATAAAAGACACATTCTTCAAGAGTCAAGAATCATAAGGTACAACAGTTAGTGATAGTGATAGGATACAATAAGCAAACAAATCATACTAAGAAACAATATAAATCGTAAGGATGCAAGCAACAAAATTATAGTCATACAGTCACAAGTGGGAGGGGATGGGTGATAAGGAGTGATGAGAAGATTAACAGTAATAGTGCAGACTTTGTAAATAGTTGGACAGTGTTGAGGGAATTATTTGTTTAGCAGAGTTAAGTGAATCACTGCAATTGTTAAATTAGTAATACAGTTGTTAAGTAAATCTGGCTTCCCCATTCAATGTGCTTGTTAGAAAGTCGCAAAAGGGGAACACATGACCCTGGGACACTCATAAATATGTGTCTGTTGCCAAGCATCTGAACATCTTCCCGTGACAATGGGGATGCTTTCAAAAGTGTGAAAAATGGCCATAAGTCATTTTTTTCAGTCCTATTGTAACTTCAAATGGTCACTAAATGAACTGTTTAGTATTTAAGTTGAGGACTACCTGTATTAACAGTTCATTTTCCAGCATTTTTGCTGATTGAAGACCTAGCTGTTCCCCAGGCATTTGAGTCAGGGTTGGAGGAGTTCTAGCTGTGGGTGAGTTAACAGTTTCTTGGGCTCCAGACTTTGCCAAGTGGGTTGTGGGTGGCCATTTCCTCAGAGACAGCCATTTTGGAAATGGCAGCACTGACCCCACACAACAGTAATTCAGCAATCAGGGTCAAAAAATGCTCTCATTATTTCAGACGTTCATCACTTTGGATAACATGGCAATCCTAACGTAACACATGATTCTTTTTTTTAAGCATCTGATGTCAAAAACGATCAAGCTGGCTACTTTTCTGCTTCCAGGCAGAATTTATATAAAGAGTTCTTGTGTAGAAACCTCTGTTATGATAGGGACTCCACACATCATGGAGAAAATGTCTAAATTCCACCTTGTTTTTTTTTTTTTTTAAAGATTTTCAGAAAGCAGTGGTGGTTACTAACTAGTAACATTCCCTTCTCCAAACACAATCACATTTAGATTTTTAAGAAGATACAGCTGCATGAAATGACTTTACCAAGTTATATTCATATGGTTTGAATTAGGTTCTTGTAGACATTACAGAAGCTTCTTACAATGGAGATTTCTTAATGCACATTTGCACTTGAAAAGAACTTAACTTTACCATATTATTAATTCATGATTTCTATCCTTAAATATAATAAAGTATAAAGTATAAAAATGATGGATGTCTTAGAGTTCAGTTTGCAAAGTTAGAACATGTTGACAGGCACAGTAACAATTTCTTACTTCTCTACTGCAGTGTAAATTGTCTTTAATGCCAGCTTTAATTAAACTTAGACTGGGCCAGGTGTCATTTTGCGAATCCAAGTTTTCTGCAAGGAAGGAGGATGGAGGAGTTCTGCAAGCTGTTTCTGTAAAACTGACAGGAGCAGGTGCAGCAACATTTCAATCAGTTTCAACAAAATGTTCTCAAAAGACCACCTGTCTTATTGGATTTTAGCCATAACCTTTCCACATTTGTTCCCCAATAGAGGATTATTCGCTAACGCACAGCAACAATACACAAGACTATTTCTCCCCACTGCAATTTTTATTTTATTGGATTTACTTTTTATTTACTTTATTGGATTTCTAAGGTTGCCAAATCTTCAAATTACTTAAGGCGGTATGTAGGACAAATTAAAAATACAATATAACAGTAAAAGAAGAATCAGATAATAAATAGCTGTCCAGGAATACAATAGCAGCAACACTTAAACTTATGTACCACTCCATATTACTTTACAGCACTATCTGAATGGTTTACAATATCAGAATATTGTCCCCAATAATATGGGCCCTTATTTTACTGAGCTCAGAAGAATGGAAAGCTGAATCAATCTTGAGCAAGTCATGGTCGAACTCCAGACGGTGGGCAAAGTTAGCCTACAGTACTGTGTTCTAACTACTGCGCAACCAGGGCTCCTATACAAAAAATTAAACTAGTCACAGCATACCACTGGCCCCATGGCCTGGCCTGCTGGAGGAACCAAGTCCTAAAGGACATCTGGATTGGGCCATGTGGGGCTCATAGAGAGGCAGGAGCACCAACAAAGAAGGCATTCTAGGGTCCCATAACATTCCATCCCTAAATTCTTGTGCTATTAAAAAGATGGCAGGAGATTTGTATTATAAGACCTGCAAGTTTCTGTTCATATGACTTTATTATAAAGCGGAACAAGCTCATATGGTCATGATTCCTGTCTACTAGGATCTACCAGAAAGGCAGGCAATTGCCATAGTACAAACTGACAGAGCTATGAGAGACCTTCAATCTATGGTTAATTCTATTTTCACATCAAAGACATGAAATAAACATCGTAACATGATATTGCTTCCGCATACAACTACACTAGCTAGCTACTGCTTATAGGGTAAAGAAATACATGAGACTGATAATGCCAAAAGACAGTGACTGGCCCCAAGTCACCCACCCAGCTTTGTGCCTAAGACAGAGTTAGAACCATTCTAGTCTGGCACCTTAAGCACTATACTTTTCATTCAGGGCTTTAGAAAGTCAAACAGCAGCCAGATCAACACTACATTGAGACAAGAAAGATTCCCAATTCCCAATGTACATTAACCAAAGATAAAAGAGTTAGTTGTATAGTAGCTACTTTCTGAGAATATGTGCACTCTAGTATAATGGGAACTACTCTCACACAGCCCTATAATACAGGTCCATCAGGGCTATAAACTGAAATAATCTCTTCCAATGGATCTTCTATGATACTAAACCAGAGAAAGTTCTTTTTAAATTGGAAACATCTGTGAATGCAGCTAGATCTTGGTGCTGCACCCTGTGCTAGACAGATTCTGAATTCTAGTAACGTATCTTAAATTCTACCTTGCAGGCAAAGGTAGCCGAGAGAAATGTTCAGTACAAGTACCATATGAACCTGAACCTTGCTCCAATCAGCAGCCTGATTGCTACATTTTATAAATTTCCATTTTTGGATATTTTTCATGAGTAGCTCCACAGAACCAACGCATGGATCATGGACATTAAAGCTAACTGGCTCAGGAAGGATTGCAGCTGGCACAATGCATTGGGCAAACATGTTCCCTTTCACTACTGCCATCTGCAAATTCAGTAACAGAGAGTGGCCAAATGCCAGTGCAAATATGCTGACTCTAAAGGAAAACAACCCCATTCAGAACTAGCTTCACTTTGATCACCTTAATTTTTTTTCCTTACCAACATTACATCCAGCTTGTCTAGATTGAATTTCAGCTTTATAATCCTCATCCAGGCAATTATCAAGATTAGACAACAGTAAGGGTGTTTTTTTTTTAGGGACTAGATGGTAAGATGCAGTAGAGCAGAATATGATCAAATAATGAGAGCATTTCATTCTAGACTTCTAAATTAATTCCTCCAGCTATTCCAAGTAGTTGTTAGTACGCAAGATAACACAAACTTCTGTAGAACACCATAGCTCAACTCTCGTCAGCACTTAGCAGAATAATTTTATTTAAAACACTGTGGAAATGATTCATTTTAGCAGCTCTTCTTATGTACAATTCTAGATTTTAGCAGGCAGGAATACTTTCAATGGTGGACCCAACTGTACATGATTATTGATAAACTGAGAAGACCAACAAGGAGGCCAAAAATTAGCAGGGCACATGCCTGTGAATAAAAGTGAGACAAACAGAAGAATCTTAAAAGCAGAAATCAATTAATCTTTTGTTAATTAAAGCAATTATTGTAGTGGCATCATTTTACTTTTTAGCTACTGGTAGAGTTGCATTTAAAACACATCATGTCAATACATTTTCAGATGGATACGTGGGTATCGTTGAGAAAAGGACAACACCCTGCAATAAACAAGTTAGATTTGTAGCTTAGGAAATGATTTTAGCAGAACTGGCCTTGTCAACTGACGATGGCTATAGCAATAAGAGCTGTGCAAAACAACTGGCCAAATGCCAAACCAAAGTGGACTGATTCATGCAGATGCAAGAGATGTCCAAATCAAACCAAGCCTCCTCCTCCAAAAAAAAAACCCTCATTCCAAATCTGAAACATGCTGAAGTTTCATTAGCATTTCAAAATTTGAAGTAATCCAGACATGCAGAAAAGCATCTGCCAAAAATTCATAGTTACCCAGACAGAACAGCAGCCAAATATTGATACATTTCTCCCTAAGTGCTTCATATAAGGAAAACTCCACTACTGGGGTGGGGAGGGCAGCGTACTTTTGTGCCTGATAGTATTGACTTCAAACCAAATGAATAGATTTATTAGGGGTCTCCAATGACATTGTCTGGATGAGGAAGGATGAAATTATTTATTGCAGAATTATGGCAGATCATTTTTGAACTTCATGGTCTGCATTTTCTAGATGGCGACATTTTAAGATATAAATTTGACTGTATTTGTGCTGGGAAAGGAAGAAAACGAATTGCAGATTACTGAATGTGTAGGAAGAGAGTCCAGACAAATGCAGATATCTTTCACACAACAAGATTATGTCCCTTTGCACATTTCTTATAAGTATTTTAGCGCATTTAGCAGAAAGCAAACTCCAAATGTCAGTCCTTAGGTGAAAGGGATTTCAGAAACAGCAATAGAAAATATTTTGTTTACAGGCCATGGATTGTTGTAAATTAGAATAGACAGTATTAGATGTAGAAGTGCACGTTATTATTCTGTCTACAGAACATCAACCCTTGCTATATACCATTAGCACTATTGACATTAATGTAGTTCCAGGGCAGCATATGGCATATTTTTAAGATATTCAACCAATCAGAAATTAATTCATAAATTAGTACATGCAACTTAAAACACTGATAATCTGAAGAATTTTTTTTTTAAAAGAAAAAAAAATACATTACCCCAAGTTTTTGCCATGATATAAAGTCCTCTGTACTGATCTTAAGATAAAATAGTCCAGGGTATACAAAGAGCAAACATGTTGAAGTGGTAGACCCTGGAAAAAGATAGGACAATAAGTCTTTGTAAGCTCTAAATGAATGGATTTCAAAATGCAGGAATAGGAAGAAGATCAGATAAACTTACCAACTACTCCAAAAAGTTGTCTGATGTCAGGCACATACATTGCGAGCAAAACAACAATTGCATTTAGTACTAAAGTGATGAAAATGTGGTGGATTAGGGAGAAAGGAAGATGTGAAAAAAATATCATCATTACAGCTTTTCTTGCCTGTAGAATTCAAAAGATTTAAAAAGCATGTCAATACAATAATTAAAAAACCAATAGCACAAATAACATTTATTTACTGAGACCCAAAAGTGCTTTTTAAAAAGGCAATTGGATTTGTTTTTCTTAAAGACATTTCGCTTCTCATCAAAGAAGTTCGCAACTATCTTAATAGTCTTAATTCAGAACTGAAGAAGCTTCTTGGATGAGAAATGAAATGTCTTCAAGAAAAAAACCAAGGAAGTCCAGCTGCCTTTTGAAAAAGCACCTTTGGGACAACTATGACCTGGATGACTGAGAATCTCCACATATATTTACTATGATTGTAACTCCATTTGCATTGCTAGCTAAACTTACTGATTGACAGCAGGGATCAACACATTGGAAGAAATCCAACTATATATGAATAGAAAGTTTCTTATGTGTTAGGTTTTCTCTCTCTATAACCCTCATCCTCCAAAACAGAATGCATAAATGGGAAACTAGCCATAGGGAAATGTTCTCAATACTATTTCTGCCTACTGAGTGACCATAAAAAATGTTTTACTGGATTATTATTTTGCTTAGTTCCCAAACAGCAAAAACTTCAAGATGAGAATTTGGAAAAGGCCAAGACCAGAGGCAGTTTTGTGGTTTTGTATTAACCCCTGTTAAAAATAAGCTTGCAGAATATCATTAAAACTTCTTTTTGCTGGCTTTCATTTACTTATTACACTGCATGCTAACTTAAAAGCCAAACGAAAAGAAAACACACACAGATGTGCATACCAAAACTATTTTAAGAATATCATATTCTGCAAATTGCAATGCTATAAGTCAGCTCAAATTTAAAACTATTTCTTTTTCAAACAAGCACAAAACAAATTAGTATACTGGTTTAGGTCTCATTCCTCTGTTGCTGTTAACGCTCATAAAAAAGACATGAACATTATGATCTATTTGAAGTATGAGTAAGGCAGCCAAACTGCTTATAGGGCCTGCAAATAATTAAGAATAACTTCGGCTAGACAAGCAAATCAAATATTTTGCAATACGTACAGGAAAGTGAATTAGAGGCACTGTCAACAGCACAGCAAATAAGATTCCCAGTTTTACTGTCATGATGAGTGTATCACGGGGGAAGTACTTGCTGTATCCTTGGAGCAATTCTGAATCCACATGGTCTGAAATTATTTAAAGTATATTAAGTAGCAACACCTAATTCTCACATTGTAAATAAATAGGGGCTCAGTCTATTACTGCAATATTCTTCTCTGTTCTAGAAGATGATTTAAAGAAACATCGGAAGACTAAATTTATGCATGATTATTTTTGACTAAAAAAAAAACACGATTTGAATGACTTCAGCTTAAATAGTTGTTTTATTTAAAAGCAATGATAGCCATGAAAAACTAACTAAAATCCACAGATTTATCTGGTCTTTCTTAGGCTTAGCTATCACAAATACTTGCAGGCTTTTGTGTTTCCATGATCTCTTCATTATGTAAGACGGTTCAAAGTTTTTTTTAAAAAAAGAAGGGGGCGAGGTTCAAGAATTTAAGAATATAAACTGAAACAGACATGGCTCAAATATCAGTCTCATATCTGCCACATTCTTCCCCTAACCACCCTGTCAATTTTTTTTTCCTGGCTTTTAATCAACTTTTAATCAAGAGTTCATGGAAACTCAAGGTTTACTACTATTCTAGAAAATTTCAGTTGGCTTAATAAAGATATTCCTGTATGGATTTTGGAATGTTTTATATAAGCAGCACTAAGTTAATTAAGTGTGTTTGATTGTTTCGTTTTTGTGAAAACTGGCTTAATTTAATATATGTGATGAAAAAGGTAGTATATATAAACATCATAAAAACATAAACACTTATGTGTGAATGTTGTAGATCAATACATAATATTGTAGATCAATTTTCAGGAATGCTTGAGGCTGCCATCAGCCACTAGCCAAGCTCATCCCTTCAAAATCAATTATACTTTCTCAAGATGAACAACGGTTTCATTGTTACAATGTCTACAATTATAGTATTTCAATTTTCCACCCTCCCTTGCCACATGAACCCAAACCATCTAAATATTCTATATTATCTTGGTACGCTTATGCAGAGAAACAAAAATAGTTCTGTAGTCAAAGGAAGCATATGCTGGTGATCGAACCTATAGCTTAGAGACTGTATGTCTAGAAATTGTTTCTATTTGTACATTTGAAAAGCGTGGAGCTACAACATACATTAGGGTTTTTTTTTCAGATGGTCATTACTGTTGTGCTTGTTGCTTGACAAATGCTACTTGGAAAACCCACTTTAGGGCACAGATAATATATTTACATTGGTATTTAAGCTTGCATTATATACTGAGAGAAGTTCTCTGGGGGGACCTGTTTCTCTTGAGGTGAATTTGCATAAGTAATTGTTCTACGTAAAGACCTTGCCTCTAGTAAACTATGTGATAAAAGAAGCAAAAGGGACAACTTTTTTCCGACTCTAAGGATTGCAGTCAATGTTGGACAGAAAGCTAGGGAAGAAGTTGAACCTTCTACCCCAATGTTGTCACAGCCCTAAGAAGGCTATCCAACAGCTACTTGATAGCTGCCGGGAACCCAATCATATTGGGAAATCAATTAAGAGGACCCATCTTTGCATTCCTCACTGAAACTGAAACTTCTTTGCCAGCAGGGCAAAGAAGGCACCATTAGATGGCAATCTAAGTGCCTAAAAGCTGCCCACTATGGTATATTGGATCCCCGTCAGTGGTGTGATTCAATTTTTTTTTTTACTACTGGTTCTGTGGGCATGGCTTGGTAGGCATGGTATGGTTTGGTGGGCAGGGCTTGGTGAGTGTGGTAGGGGAAGGATACTGTAAAATCTCCTTTCCCTCCCCACCCCACTAACCTGTTTTCCAGCTCCATTTTCCTGTGCAGGGCAACAAAATAAGACCCAGCTGATCAGCTGGGATGTGAGAGGCAGAGAATAGAAGCAGGCGGGGCCAGTAGGAGGTGATGTTTTCCGGTTCTCCAAACTAAAAATTTCTGCTACGGGTTCTCCAGAACTGGTCAGAACCTGCTGAATACCACCTCTGGTCCCTATATTGTGGGTTTCTGCTTTATCTCCCTATTAATAAACAGAAATTAATATTTGATAACATACCATAAAAAGTGAGGTATCTGAACAGCGCTGACAGAAAATAAACTAGGAAGCTGAGAGCAATTCCTGTGTTGGCAACCTTTTGCATCCTGCTTTTGGATGGACTACAAAAAGAGAAAAAAATGGCATTATGAAAGGAATTCATAGAAACACAAATCTCTACAAATGAATGTTTAATCTGTTAACCAATGGATAACAGCGTCCTTCAACACACACACACACCTTACATCCCACCCCAAGAAACAAATTCTTGGATGGAATATTACAGAGACTTAGAGAACAGCTTTTTGGAACTTTCAAAAGATTTCAATTTTTAATAATTCGATTAATTTCTTCTTCACATCTTCACATGACAGACTTTATGTTCCTTGGCCCCAAAGTTCACAAGGGATTGTGACTGTTGCCATGAAGTAAAAAGGTGCATGCTACTTAGGCAAATTTAGATAAAATATTAAAATACAGAAATATCACAACGGTACGTACCGAGAAAGCTATGGTTTTCTTATAGCTTACAGCTATGAAAGATAAATCATCCAAAAGGATAAACAAAGAAAATCGCCACCTTTCAATTATGGTTCTGTAGAAAATTGCTGAAAATAACTTAGACTGATAGAACATATACTTTCCTTCTAGATGAAGTAAAACATACTGCTCCCTGGCTGCAATAATGAAATTAAATATTAAATAAAGCACTTTGGACAAATAATGCAAGGACCAGAGTCAATGAAGAAGCTGGCCCAAGTTGCATGAATGTGAGGAAAGTGTGTGTGTGTGTGTGTGTGTGTTTACGCACCCGTGCGTAGAGCTAGTCAACCCCTTCTGTGAACTCTGGGGTAGCACTATTCCATACAGACAAGAGTTCATAATCTAGCAGGAACAGGGGATAGAGTCTCTACTGTTGATTAAGTTAAACTAGTGCTAAGGTTAACTCCATAGGTGTCATTGAGGGAGTCAAGCTGGGACTCCATTCCCTCCATTTCCTGAAGGGAAATACCTAGCATTGTTTTGGGTTGTCAATTTAACCACTGGTTCTCAATCAGAACAAACCAACTAGACAGCACCCTTACATAAGCAGTCCTTACACAATTAGCCATAAACACACTAAACAGTCAAGGAGTATCATAGATCTGTCTTGTTTTCTACTTAATGAACCATTCCCTAAATCAGAGGTGTCAAACGTGCATCATCATAGAGGTGTCAAGTGATGTACCAGGACTTTTTCCCCCTTTGCTAAACCGGGCGGGGGCGTGGCCAGCATGTGACACATCCGGCCCGCAGGCTGTGAGTTTGACACCCCTGCCCTAAATGTTTAGTGTAAGCTGCCCAAGTAATTTTGCAATTAGATAGCTTCCAAACTTCATACAAAAATATATATAAACATACTCTATTTTTACCGATTCAGCTTGCCCTTACAATAGTGTCAACTCCATATTTAAACAAAATACTCCAGATTTGAAGACCATTTGTAGGCTTCTTCGAAAGCACCAAATCATTCAGTGTAATTTCTTTCTCATATTCATATTTTTCTCAATGGTCTGCTGAAAAACCACCATCTATTTTGAATAATATTGCTCACTATTTCTTATTTATTTACTACTAATTATAATTTAATAAATATAAATTTCATAATTTATATACTGTCTGACTCCCAACAACTCCAGGCAGTTGATAAATTGTTAAAGACATTTAAAACAAGACAACAACAGAAGACTTTTTTTTGCTCCTTTTTAGAGCAAAGATGGCAGGGATAACAATAATAATATATTAAATAATAATATAATAATATTAATATTATTAATAAATAATACTAATAAAATAGTAATAAAAAAGAAATGGGGGCTTCAATTATATTTGCCAAAGGCCTGAATCTTTGAAGTATCAAGTCTTCAAGGCCTTTCAAAACACCAGCAGGGTGAGGCCAGATCTTGGAGAAACTTCACTCCAGAAGGCAGGCACCGCCACAGAGAAGGCATAATTCTAGGGTCTCAATAGACAGTATTATGATCTTTCATTATAAATGATCAAATCAATCATACATTTATATTCTTTGCATGCATATATATGAACAGTATTATGCTTAAACCATGTATCCTGAAATAGACATTTTTTCAGTCATCAAAAAAAAAAGTTTTTCTACCTGCCCCTTGATTTTTTTTTGGGGGGGGGGGGGGTAGAAATTGATTATATAATGCTTTTCTTTGCCCGGATTCTGTTCTTGTTTTTGCTACAGTATTTCAATATTCATGTTTTGTTTCCTGCACATTCAGTAAGTTCCAATTTTTAACTTGCATCAATGCTTGTACTTGGTTGTCTTTTATGTAATCAGCCAATGCATGCTTTACTTGTTCAACAATTTATCTGACTTGAAATAAATCTCTGCATCCATTTCTGCAGGGCAGGTATAATTTATCAATGTCAATGGGGAAGTATTGTATAGTGAATACTCATAAGCTTTCTTGGTTTTTTTGCCCAAACTGTCCAGTTTGGCTTGTGCCAGTTAATAATTCCTGCAGTATATCATAGGTATGGCCCAGGTATTGATGACTTCGATGGTATTGTTCTGACCTAGGCTTCACAAAATCACAAGCAGAGTCCTTGTCCTGACAAAACCCCTTTTATTTAGGCTAATGTGAATTCCTCTCATTCACATCCAGCAATGTCTCAGCAAAGAGTCTTTCAAGAGTTATTTACAATCACAGACCTTATCAGGCCTGAAGAATTGCCGATAGCTTCCAAGCGCAAATACTGTAGCAGAAAATACTTGGCAAGGAGTCAGGAACAAATCTTCACTCTAATTAAATGAACTAATTGTCTCCTGCAAACACCATTCCCCTTTCCATCCTCTTTATTCCCTATAGGAGGGGGTATTCACCATCCACCTGTGCCTTTACTCCCAAGTCGCCCCTTGTTCCTTAACTGTTCCTTTCTCCTGACAGCTCTGTGCATGCGCATATTAGGAACAGGCTCCAGCTGTTCTTCTGCCCCAGTGATGCCCCACTGACTCTGAAGGCAGATGATAACTATCAGATGGCCCTGACCCCATCTTTGCCCCGATGCAGAGCACTCATCAGAGCCTTCCCCAGATTCCAGGACTGGCCCATGTTTCTCCTCACAAGCTCCTCACTGTCCAAATCTGCCATCAGCTCCACTGGCCGCTGGCAGGCCACAACAGGTATTTCCAGAATTCAAATTTGTCTTTAGCACTTTTCTCACTCTTTGTATGTATTCTTTATTCATCACATTTTACTTGTCCATACTCGATATTATCCAATTGTAAAATACCGGAACACTTATATCAGTGATAGGATTCTACCAGTTTCCCTACCAGTTCAGTGATCGCACACTTCACGTGTGCGTGCGCAGCTTTCCAAACACTAGCTGAGGCTCTGCCGTGCCAATCAACTGAGAGAATAAAGAACAGAAAAGCACAGGGGCAGGTGAGAGGGCCAATCCTGCATTTTTCTCCTTTTCCTCTCAGCTGATCATCGGAGCTGTTGGCTGAACCGGGCCAAACTGGTAGCATTTCATTACTGACTTATATGCTGCTAATTCAAGGTGCTTCAGGACCTTGAGTCTCCAAGCAGGTGGCCCCTCAAAAAGGATCTTTTAGCAAAATGGATACAACACTAGTGGATCTTTAACTGGAAGGTCCTCCCTTTCATGATATAGAAGATGCTTCAGTACATCAAAGTAAGCAATTATATTTTCTCATTTTTTAAAATCCCATGGAGCTAGGGGGCTCCCCTTCATGTATCTTTGTGTAGCTCCTTTCCAAGGGGTGTTCCATAAGTACTTGAAAACCTGGTTTTGATCCCAAGCAGGGGATTAGCTAAGCCAGTATCAGTTTGGGGAAATGTGTTATTTTGTTGTACTGTTCCATTTTGAGGGGGGAGGGCAATATGTTATTCCAGACATTCATTTTCTTTCTATTGTTTGTGAATGTTAATATGTTAGCTGCCCAGAGTTGTCAGGCTAAATTTAAATAAATAAATAGGAAGTGATCAAATTGAGATTAAACTGTCACCTATCTGGGATGATTAATATGGAATCCTGCAGACCAGGAGTTACACTTAAGAGCCTAAATAGCCTCATTCAATATTATCCACACTAGATTAAAAAGCAAATGCATCTTTTCCAAATTTCAATACTTCTACTCCTGTTTTTTAAATGGTTTGCACTTACAAATTAAATGTTACCTTTGGAGCTCACAATAAATTGGCAGTACCGATGTGTGGCAGAGAAATGAGAAAGCCATAGTTGGAATGGCATATGCAGTCTAACAAAAATAAAAATACAATGTTGAAATAAAGTCTGCAAATGTTTGAAACTTATTTTTAAACTCTTGCAAAAAAAAAAAAAAAAAAGTCAACAATTAAGTTGCACTGATTCCACTATGTTTTATTATGGGGTTTTGACCGCCTTGAATATGTTTATGGAAGACAGAAATATGTGTTGCCTTTCTTTCTCTTTCTCTCTCTCTCTCCCTCCCTCTCCCTTTCTCTCCCTCCCTCTCTCTCTTTCTACACACACACACACCATATATATTTATAACATGGCTGGATGACAAATGTTATGACTTACAAAGCACCCATTTACCAAAATGTTGTGGGGCAGTCTGTTGCCCTGTGTGCCCTATTATCTCTGCTTTTCTCTTTTTTTTTTTTTCTCGACAGTTGAATGCAGTTTCAACTAAATACTGGGCTGCAGTTTCCCACCATTTTTATTTTCTAAGAAAACTTGCCGAATTCATCTGGGGCTCAAGACATTACTGGAAATAATAACCGTGGTGAAGTCTTTATAGCTTGCAAAGCATCCTTTTAAAAAATAAACTAAAATATTTTATCAGTGTAAAAGATCAGGGGAAAGGGAGCGCTAGCTAACATTAAAGAGGTTCTCCACTGGAAACTTCAGATTTAGGACAGATTCCCAATTTAATTTATCATCCTTAGAAAGTACTACACACAAAAACAGTCATACTGAGAATCTCTGGCTAATTCTAATCTCATAATTCTAATGGACCCCACAGTTCAAGCCTGAGCTACAAATATTTTCTTCTATCAATAATTCTAATGCTTCAATACATTTGTGTAAACTCTTTAAATGGTCAAAAGAATATTTTAGATTACCTCTTTGGAGAAGTGAAAAAGTTGTGCATTACAGTCTCCAGTAGAGTTTGAAATCTGTGTAAAACAAAATCAAAAAAGCACATCAGCTAGGTTCAAATTACATAATTTTAAAACTATTTCAAATTCCTACCAATGAACTTACAAAGACGATTTAATGAAGGCCACATTTATACTAATCGCTTTAAAGTAATCCTCGATTACTTTCAAAACCATGTAGTAGCCCACTGCAACTACCAACAAAACAGAAATGGTTTAAGATAGTGGGGGAAACTTATTCAGTGATAAATTTTTCTAGATGAATAGTTCTTTTCCAGAATCTCTGTTTCTTTATAGTCCAATGCATCTGTATAAATTAATGAGGAAAAGACATAGGTATGTTGCATTTAAAACCTATACTCTTGGATCGTGCACTTCTAGTGATACAGTAATATATACTGTATCTCTAATTCAGCAAACCATCTGTTTCATATTTCAAAGTACTATAAATTATTGTTCAAGCAATAGCAATAGCATTTAGACTTATATATCGCTTTATAGTGCTTTACAGCCCTCTCTAAGCGGTTTACAGAGTCAGCATATTGCCCCCAACAATCTGGGTCCTCATCATTTTTACTGTATAACACTTATTCCTGAAATAACAGGCTTGTAGAAAATACAAGAACAATAAATTTCAGATTTAAAGTACTTTATATACCTGGGAATATCCTGTAGCAAAGTTTAGCGGCAGAGGACAAGGAATTGACCATTTTTTAACTATTATCTATAAAAAGAGGGGGAAAAGTAAGAGTTCAGTTAGAGGTGACCATACTGCATCCAATCAAAAACTAATGCTTATCATCTAATCAGCATAGTTATTAGATATCCTAATGAGGAATGATAAGAACAGTAGATCAACATATCTGGAGACAACCATTGTAAATAAGTCTGTTATTTTGAAAAATAATGGTTTACTCATACAGAATTTCCTTTGGCACTGGATGGAGCCCTTGTTATTTGATAGAGTAAGTAAAAATGATGGGAAATAATACATAAACAAAGTCCTTATGCTCAAAAACTGATTGAGAAGGTCATAAAAGATCCAAGTTGCTCACCTTTGCTTGCATTCAATTCCTCTTTGCTCCTCAGATTGAGCAGAGAAGTCAAATAAGGAAATCCTATGGTTATGTACATATAAAGTCTCATATTAAGGTCAACTTCTAATGACTACATGGAGATATAATTTCCAGTTTGGGGGTGTGGTTCTTCCATATCTGAGATAATTTTTCTATCTTTCTACAAATCAGGTCTGATTTTGTTTACTTTGTCTTGTTCAGACAAGTCTGCAAGGAGTATATATCCTTCCATTCCCCACCATCCAGTCACAACTGAAGAAGCTTCTTGGATGAGAAGCGAAATGTCTTCAAAGAAAAATCAGAAAGTCCAGTTACCTCTTGAAAAAGCACCTTTGGGACATTCAGACAAGCTCATGAAAGTATTATCTCAAGTGCTACCTCCCAAAGGGCAAATAGAATAGAATAGAATGAAGTAGAATGGAATAGGAATAGGAATAGGAATAGGAATAGAACAGCAGAATTGGAAGGGACCTTGGAGGTCTTTTAGTGCTCAGGCAGGAAACCTTATACAATTTCAAACAAATCGTCTAATCTCTTCTTAAAAACTTCCAGTGTTGGAGAATTCACCATATGTGCAAGACCAAGCTACAGGATGTTTCTACCTTTTCTTTAGAAGTACCAAATAGTGGGGAATAGTGTCCAAAAAGGTCAATATTGCCTACAATAATCAGCGTCAATCCAATAGTGTTCTGCACAGTAGCAAATGGTTTTTATCCAGATAAGTGAATATAGTTAAATCTGCATGACTGTGAATTTCCTCTTACTGCCCGCCTAATTATCACTATTAACTCTCTTAAGGCACTCTGATGAAGAAGAGACTAGATAATTCTTGGGAAGAGTTCCTTTCACTTTTAACAATCTTGCAGTTGGCTGAACTTATGTTTATGTATATATAAGAGTCAATACATTTTATTTGTATATTACAAATGTAGTCATTCCTATCACTGAGAACAGCATGAACCAAAAATTACATAATGATTACTGGAATTGGGTATGTCTAGTTTAATGGGAAAAAAGACTAGGAATGACATGGTAGCAATAGCACTTAGACTTATATATCACTTTACAGTGCTCTCTAAGTGGTTTACAGAGTCAGCATATTGCCCAACAATCTGGGTCCTCATTTTACCCACCTCGGAAGGATGGAAGGATGAGTCAACCTTGAGCCTGGTGAGATTTGAACTGCCAAATTGCAGGCAGCTGGCTGTCAGCAGCAGTAGTTTGTGGTACTGCACTTTAACCACTGCGCCACCAAGATGTTCCAATTTCTAAGGGGCTGCCACAAAAAGAGGGTATCAACTTATTCTCCAAAGCACCTGAGGGCAGGATAAGAAGCAATGGGTGGAAACTAATCAAGGAGAGAAGCAACTTAGAACTAAGGAGAAATTTCCTGACAGAACAATTAATCAGTGGAACAATTTGCCTCCAAAAGTTGTGAATGCTCCAACATTGGAAATTTCTAAGAAGAGACTGGACCACCATTTGTCTGAAATGGTTATAGGGTTTCCTGCCTGAGCAGGGGTTGGATTAGAAGACCTCCAAAGTCCCTTCCAACTCTGTTATTCTGTTCTAATAATAGCTCTTTCTGATCAAAAGCCTACTCAAACCCAGTATAGTTTCCATAGTAAGAACATATTCCTGGGCTGTACCATGACAAGCAATGATTACTTGTATGTGTTATTCTATATAAACAACTCCTAAGCACAAAAACCAAACATGTCATGAAGGAAACATGCTGCATTTCTATAGGTAAAGACATTTTTTTCACAGAATAATTTGTCAAGCGAACCTTGACTTTCTGAAATGCTATAAATCCAAAATTCTATTTACTATCCATCAGATGTTTAAGAACTAGATTCTAACTAACTGCAATTATTGAACAACAAAGCAAATCAAAGATCACAATAAACACTGAGAAATGAATATAACAACACTACATTTTATTATTTTAGAGTAATCATATTAACTGATTTGAAAGAGATCAGTCATTTGTCAAGTCAGAGTCACCTTATTGGGGAGATGGGAAGCATATAAATTTAATAAATGATAATAACAGCTTGTACTTTTAGAGCATAATAAATTTGTTAAGAATTGCAAAGGAAGCATACCAAGAAAACTTAATACAATTCCTGCAATGTCAAAGAATCTCTAACGGTTGCTTACCCAATGCTGGAAGGCAGTGAGGAAGGGAGTTTGGGGGCCGGGGGGGGGGGGGCAGGGAAAGAGAGAGAGAGAGAACTGAATACTGGAAAACTGAAAAAAAATGTTCCATTATAGGATAAAATTCCATACTCCATTCATTATTCTTAGATCACCATTTTAGAGCAGTTTCAGAGAATAGTTCTCTTTCCTCAGATCACTCATTCTCATAATATCCCTACGAGGCAAGCTATTAATAATGATAAAAAAGAAGGAAAACAGATCAAGATCACCCAGGGAGTCTCTAGCTGAGGCAGAATTTCAATTCTTGGGTCCAAGCCCATATCTGTAGCCAATATTAACATTTGTCCTCACAGGCAATAACCTGAGCGTACGCTTTCCCAAAAAACCAAAAGGAGAAAATTATAGTACTATAAAAATATTGCTTCCATATGCCCAGGTCAGATTTTGGATTCCTGGAACATATTAAAGAGACTTGAGATAGCAAGAAAATGATATGTAAACTAAAATACAGAAGGTATCACCATACATTATCTTTTCAAGACAAAAAAAATAGGTCAGAGAATTGGAATTGGATTTAATAGACTCTGAAAATTTTCCTTTAGCATTTATTTAAATTAACACTTGTGGTGCTAAATTATATGCGTAAACTGAGTAATACTCAAACACAAACATTTTCAGCTTCATGGGTAACCTTTTCCTTACAAAGAGCAATATTAACACTAGAGTTCGCCTCTAGTACTAAAAGAGAAAGTTAGCACTTTCTCATAATGTGAAGGGAAGCCAGCCATGGAGGCGGTCACAGTGGCCCTCATTCGAGCTGAGTAAACACAAGAGCCCCGGGGGTTTGGCCTATTGCTCCAGTTGGGCCAAGGCCCTTGGAGGCGCAGCCTTTCCCTGCCCCAGGCCTTTTCCCCATTTTGATCACAGTCCTGGGACCCTCCAGGCCCTGCCTGTCCACCCCACATGAGGTCCTCGGAGTTATGACCTGCAGGAGGGCAGCAGCCATTGCCAAGCAGACCTTGGCAGAGCCCTTCCCAGCCTTGGGGCCAAGGAACATGGGAGTCCCCCCACCCTCTCTGAACTCCCTACGGAAGTGCTGCTGCCCTTGGCCTCCTGCCTGGGGTCAGATTAGAAGACCTCTAAGGTTCCTTCCAACCCTATTATTCTATGAATTGGTCTTTACCAAACCAGAAAACTACAGGAATTAATAGAATTAATTTAATGGATTAAACTATGCCAGCAAATCTGAAGAATGACAAAATGAACAAGAGATTAGAAGACATCAGTTCACCTATCAAAACCAGAAAGAGAAAACAACACTGTATGGAAACACTTCACAGTATCCTTATCCATGCTAGCAAAATAAAGGATCAGAGGTGGTATTCAGCAGGTTCTAAGCAGTTCTGGAGAACCGGTAGCAGAAATTTTGAATAGTTCAGAGAATGAGCAAATACCACCTCTGACTGGGGATTTAACAAGTATTCTTCCCCTGCCATGCCCACCAAGCCACACCCACAGAACTGGTAGCAAAAAAAAAATGAATCCCACCACTGCTTAGGATCATCCAACACAGATCAGAGCCCTTAAGAGAAAGGGAGATACTAGTTATTCAAGCTGGCTTTAGAAAAAAGGTCAAGGAAGAAGAGACATTATTGCTGATGCATGTTGGATAATTGAGAAAGACAAAGAATAACCAAAAGAATTTGGTACAGTTTGTCCTCAACTTACAGCAGTTCATTTAGCAACCATTCAAAGTTACAACAGCACTGAATAAAGTGACTTATGACCTTTTTTCACAGTTACAGCTTTTGCAACATCCCCAGGGACATGTGATCAAAATTCAGATGCTTGGCAATTGGTTCGTATTGCGGTTCAGTTGCTGTAACCAATTGCCAACCAATTGTGATCTTCTAACAAGCAAAATCAACTGGGAAGCCAGATTCATTTAACAACTATGTTACTAACTTATCAAGTGCACTGATTCACTTCACAACTGTGGCAAGAAAAGTTGTAAAATAGGGTAAAATTCACTTAACAAATGTCTCACTTAACAACAGAAATTTTGGGCTCAGTTGTGGTCATAAGTTGAGGACTACCTGTATATTGGGAAAGCTAGATTGGAAAAAGATGAGTGTGGTTTTCAAAGTGGAAGAAGAAACATCAATGACTTGTGCAACGCAGATGACCCGATTCTGATAGCTGAAATGCAAATGCCCTGGAAGCTCTATTAAGCCAATTAGTCAAGGAGAACAGTTTTTTTAAAAAAAGAACTACAATTATATTTAAGACCAGACTAATGAGATTGGGTACAGCAACTGGCTTTAGAACAGTGAAAATATTGAAGTGATGAGTAGATTCTATCTTTTAATATTGATTATCAGAAGTAAAGGAATTAGCAGTTAAGAAATATGCACTAAACAACCACTTGGCAGAGTAACAATAAAGGGCCTTGAAAGGTTATTCAGGTGCCAAGGCGTATTTAGATTATCTGTACTTACAAAGATGAGATTTATTCCTGCAGAAGCCATGTTAGAATTACACATGTTGCTGAAAAGAAGCTATAAATTATTTTTCTTTGGTAATTTTTTTTACCATTTTACCTGGAATGAATAAGCTAACTTGACTATGATTTTCTCTATTTCTCCTCAATGTCTTTTTAAACATTGGAGTCCTGTTGGCTTTCTTCCTGCCTTTGGGAGCAAATGCTGTTCTTAAAGATAAATTGACTATTTCTGTCAAAAAACCTGGCAATTTCACATTTTAATTTTTAAACAGCCTCCTGATTGATACCATCTGGAGCCAAGGGTTTATTTGTTTCTAATTTGTCAGTTACATTTATCTCTTGTTACCTTGCCTAGTTTATCTATCCCTCTCCTGAAAAATGCAGTTCAGACACAGTTTCTGGCCTGCATCTACAGTAGTGAAAATGAGGATGAAGAATTCATACAGTCCATGGTATGTCCCTCCACTTTCTAAATGCCACTGTTATTCAATGGCCAAATAACCTCTCTGGTTATTTACTTTTTTAGAATACGTTCAGAGGTGGTATTCAGCAGGTTCTGACCGGTTCTCGAGAACCGGTAGCGGAAATTTTGAGTAGTTCGGAGAACTGGCAAATACAACCTCTGACTGGAGATTTTACAGAATCCTTTCCCTGCCACTCCCACCAAGCCACACCCACAGAACCGGTAGTAAAAAAAATTGAATCCCACCACTGAATATATTTACATATTTTTGTTGCTTGTCTTAATATTCTTCACTCTTAAGTTCTTCAAAATTGTTTGTTGGGCATATTTTGACTATATATTTTATTTTATTATATTCTCCATCAGATTTCCAAATATTCTGGACTGGTTGCAAGCCAAAAGTAACATATCAAAATACAGCTGACCAGAAGAGCAAAATACCAAACAGCGATAAAAATCACCCCTTGTGACAAAAACAAATTAGTGAGATTTTTTTCCTATTAAATGCAGAGAGTAATTGTTTTGAATAATCCCTGATTGGTCATCAGGGAGATAACATATAGTTCTAGTGTTATCAAGCCCACATCAAAGCATTAAACAACTGGGACTTTTACTTGGGAATAGACCTCAGCAAACAAACCAGAATCAAGTAAAATGTGTGTTACAGGAAAAGTACCTATGAACATGGTGCATAATCTGAAGACATCATTTAGATATAGTGTACACAGTCATCTGCCTCCCAGACTATCTGGTTAAAATCCTTTTACAACAGAGAGGATGGTGAACTGAGACCTACTGGATGCAGGTAAACCCAAGTAGGTATTAATGAATGGCAGTTTAGCTCACAGGAGGTTGCTGAGCTTGCAAAAGATTATCATCTCCTAGACTTGGCAAAAATCGTTTGGAGATCTTGAAAGATGCTACCCTTAGGGAGATGTTTTGACAGCTTTGAAGTCTGATTTTTATCCTATGGTTCAATTCCTTAATGGACTGGCTGTCTTGCACTCTGGATAGCATTTTTGCAGGACAGCCTTTATGTGATTTTTATCTTCTTAAAAACACAGGAAAAAAGTAAGGTCTGCCTGCAAGTCAACACAAGCCAACAGAGTCAAGGGGCACTGCTTATTATTCTGCAGGGAAAGCACCGAACTTCAGCAAAGCATGCTTTCTCAGGTGGAGGGCAGAGAGGGAATAATAATGTTTAAGCATAGCTGCTATTACTATTTCATTGCTTTAATTTCTTCCTCCATCAATCTATCTTAGGTCAAAGATCAACCATTTAAAAGAAAATAGGGGTGATGGGGGCATAATGAAATATATAAATGTACACATATATAAAGAACTATTATCACTCTGCTCTGTTTTATTTGTACTTGTTTGATGTCCTCTCCTAGTTTTCTTTACATGTCAATATGACTTTGAAAATTAAACAACATAAGTGTGCATGACACTCAATTATTACTCTAGTGATTAACAAGAACCACTGAAAGCCAGTCTTTTCACTCACAAGAAAATAGTTGAGTTAACCTCTAACAGCCAAGTAGTAAAGTAATCTTACCTAGCCCATGAGTTAACTACTCCAAATAAAAGAGGGGAGGGGGTCTAATCATTTCTTTGATAATTGCTTGCTTTAGAAGTACAATATCTCAGAATAATGGAGACAACCTAACAAGAAGAAACGTTGTGCAATGGTATTCCTGCATATACAGTATATGATAGTGGAAGGGAAAGGGAGCAGAAGGACAATTCATTAGTCTTTATTCACTTTCTTCCAGAAACCACATTAGCATATTAGATTTAGCTCTTAGATTCCCTCTTCAATAGAATAGAAGGTATTTTTGCACCCAAGATTCAGCAACCTTTCTGGATTATGGAAGCATCTGTAATTCTGACAGCATGTAATGGGTTCATGTAGCGGGGCCATTAAAATAGCCTAAGAAAAAGAGGACAGTGACAAAAAAAAGGAAGATGGTGGGTTGTTGGTTTTTTTTTACATTTCAACGTTCATCTAATTAAAACTATCCCTTATATTATAACATATTATAAAGTTTCTCTTTTCTCCTCCTTCCCTATCTTCAATACACATACTCAAACAGGGTTCGGGTTTCTTTTACTAGCTGACCTTTTTGCTAGTCATTTTGCCAATACAATTGTTTGCATTTATTCAGAATCCCGATAGACAAAATCTCATGAGATGATAGTGGTCATATCTTGTGAGATCACTTGAGATTTTTCTGAAACTGTGAACTCTGAGGACATGGATGGGATTTTGTGTGGAATGAGAACCAACACCTCTAGACTATACTCCTAAACCTAGGAGGTTAAGTCTTGCCAGATGTAGGGTTTAGATGTAAAAGATAGTGAACTCTTACTTAAAGGGAGACAATGATACCACACTGAAAGAGGCAATGATGCACCACTTCTCTCAACCTGGCACACAAAATCTCCAAAGACCCTAACACTAAATAATTTTGGCTAGCAGGCCTAGGAAAGAGCCTTCTCTGCTGTTTCCCATGCCCTATGGAATATCTTGCCCCCCGAGCTGAGGTGAGACCCATTCACCCATGCAATCCATAAGGGTGGTTGGTGTCTTATGGACACTCCTTCTGCTTTTTGCATTTTTTAACCTCTGTAACTTTTATCTTTTTAATTCTATTTTAATATTGTTTTGAACTACATTATGGTTTTTATTTGTAAACTGCCCTGAGTCACTTACATGAGATGGGTGGTATGTAAACTTGATTAAATAAACATCCCCAAGATACAGATGATGCAGTTGTTGCCAGCATATACTGGAATTTTTAAACATTATATCGATTGCTTGAATACACATTTGTGGTCCCTACACATACAGATGTTGGTTTTGAAGATAATTCATGTCTAAACGTATCCTGAAATATATTCATTTCTACATATTCTTTACTGTTGCAGAAACCACAGTAGAAGCAAATCTAAACCAAATGCACACCCTTATTGTTTTCCATAGATCACAAAAGAAGCAATGAATGTAAACATCAGCACTGAATGACCTACTTGACACAGAGACAGAATAGGGAGAAAGTATTTCTTTCAGTCTGAAAGAATAAGACCTTGATATATTAATATGGATGTTAAATTACTCAAGAGTTTTGCTGCTTCTTGTGCTTTGTGTTATTGAACTAACATGTAAATTCAATTTACTTGGAAAAGATGACATTTTCTTCTGCACGAGTTGCAGTAAATGGTGGTTGGAAGTAAGGATGAAAAATTCCATCCTACGCAGACTAATATTTTTCATTGCCCTGTCAGCAAAAACAAATACACTGTACTGCATTTTACAGTCCAAAAAAATTAACAATGGTGTTTTTTCATAGTCCTGATTTTTTTTAAGCCAAAAAACTTACCCACACACAAGGAAACACATACACTGCACATAAAAGACAGGAGAAGGGACACTTTAATTTTAAAGACAAATTTTTTGAAGACAGACATCTGTTTCAAAGAAATTCTGAAATCCATCAAAAGAAAAATAAAACACAAGCTATGATCTCTCTCTTTTTTTTACTTACCACAAGAGTAAAGTATACCATCAAGAAAAATGATAAACTACTTGTACAGCCAAGAAAGCCTGTAAAATAACAATAAAAATAAGAGACAATTTATAAGGAAAGTGATCCTGATGTAAGGTTAAAAGAGTTTCACATTATAGGTATGTTTTTCATTATAGGGCTTGGTGTCTGCGGCTTAAAACTCCATCTAAAAACATTCTGACTTGCCTGCCACAGATCGTCTATGTAGCTTTGCAGCACTGAATTAGGACTGCTCTACCAATAATGGCATACAATAAGTAAATGCAACTCTTTAATGTTTTTCTGTAAATGTTTTATTTTAGGAGAGCAGACAAAATACTGGGGATTCTAACTAATAGGTTAACCAGGCATGTCTGGAAGGCAAACTAAGTTGCAAACAAATCTACACTGCTCAATCTTTCCTTAATTTATTTCAGCTCGTATTAAGAGCCTCTCTGACATCTCTCAATCAAGCTGCTATTAGGGAAAAAAAGATGGCTGCCAATGGTAAATTACACAACAGGAATATCCTCTTTAAAATTACTCACCAATTTTAGGAAGAAGTGCTAGAGGGAAAACGATACAAACTGAGGTAATCAGCAGCAGTAATCTTCCATCAAGATACCAAGAACTATTAGAAGATATAATGCAAACAGTTTCAAAATGTCTGGGAAACTTCACTTATATACTGATACTTGTATAGTAGGGAGGGGAATATTTTTAAAAATCAAGATTTTTGAATCAGATAAAAAATACAATCCATATTAAGACAATCTATTTATCAGGCTAGCCTATATTTTATGAAGCGTTTGAGTTTTCAAGAATTTCTTACCAAACATAATAATATAAAGAAGTGAGAAGTATTTGCTTGTGTTATTGCTATGTTAACAGACAGACATTAAAAAATTCTTGCTAGAAATTTTTGATAATGTTGGTTCCTGAGAAATCCTTTTCCTTGATGCCTATCAGCCTCTCTTTTCCACCTTAAAAAAGCAAATAAATAAGAAACTAAGATGTTGTAAACTTCTTGTATCATATTTATTTGCAGCAATTTATTTGGACCTCACTAAAACACCATTTGGATAATAAGGAGCACCCCAAATAGCGAATTTTTCTCCTTCGTTTTGTGAAACATACTTTTGTGAATAGGGAGATTTCCTATGACAGTCATTTTGTGAATGGGCCCACAGCAGGCTCCCAAAACTTTGCACAGAAATGTTGCTTAAAGAATCCAAATTAAAAGCCAACATTTGACTGCAAGCATGATCTTTTGGAGCAGAAGGTATTTTACACACACAATGGAGCAGGGATAAAATGTCTCCTATCTAAGGTGATGTATTAGGAAGATTATTACTAAAATAGAATTTCCAGATTTCTTAGAAAATGACACACCGCATATCTCCTATCACCTTGAAACCAGATTTTTTTTTTCCTTCCTTGATTTGGCATGCAACTATCTGTTTTTCATTTCTAAGATTTCTTTTATTTTAAAAATCTATTGCAAAGAGGTATATGTGAAAGTTCTGCTCCATCATATATTAATTTAAGGAAATTTAAAGCTCATGGGAACAAGAATCTCTTTTTTAAAACGTTATTTAGGCAATTGGGAATTCTGCCCTATCAGCACTTAAGTCTTTGGCTGGTGTTGACAAAAGCAAGAAAGATGCTTCTTGCTTATACAGCAATTTAAAAATATTTGTTATGGAAAAAACAGTATAATCAGAGAAGGTAGCAGCTCTCAAGGTTAGCACTATGCTCTCAAACTCTCTCTAAATACTGGCCATAAATAAAAAAAGATTCCCTCTAAAATAATGCTGGACTGATATGAAAATTTAATATATAGTTACTATGGACAATTATATTAGATTCTATATAGCAAAGGTAAAGTAAAGGTAAAGGTTCCCCTTGCACATATGTGCTAGTCGTTTCTGGCTCTAGGGGACGGTGCTCATCTCTGTTACAAAGCCAAATCTCTGTTACAAAGCCATTGTCCGAAGACGTCTCCGTGGTCATGTGGTCAGCATGACTAAACGCCGAAGGCACACTATTACCTTCCCACCAAAGTGGCCCCTATTTTTCTACTTGCATTACAGCTTGCATTCAAACTGTTAGGTTGGCAGAAGCTGGGGCAAGTAATGGGAGCTCATTCCATTACGCCGCGCTAGAGATTCAAACCACCAAACTGCCGACCTTTCTCACATGGGATCTAATATATTTATCCTATATGGTTAAAGATTGAGTCTCTAATATTTTTTAATCTGTTTTGATGATAGTTCTTTTCCTTTACAAGGATTTCAACACCATGTCTCCAAAAAGGTTTCTTTGGCTATTCAGGCCAACTGGTATAGAAGACTCCACAATAAAGAGTTTATTCTTCAGTATATAACTTTTGGCACAGCCAAATGTTTTTAGCAGACCTGGCACACTCTGCTGAAAATGTCAGATGGGCTAATATTTAGACTTCAGTTCTTATTATATATCAATCTATATGTATGCCTTTTGCCAGAATTCCCAAATATCTGTCAGCCAATGGAACTGCAAGAGCACATTATGAGGTATTCTTAAAACAGTTGCCATGGTGGGAAAAACCAATAATGCTTCCAGTTCCCCTGCTCTCCATGGTTAAAGTTAAGGCCACAGGAGTACCATTTTCCATTGATGCCCAGGGGAGCTGACTATTCATTTTCATGACAAAGAAAGAATTAATACGAGAACTAGTAATCTATTTCTGGGTACGTGTGTCCCCCCTCAATATTTTAGCCATAATCTCTTGCAAATTGCTACCCCTGATGTTGTGGTTTTTGGATGAAAGTCTCTATCCTAGGATGAATTGAACATGAATTCAAACACTTTTTATAATTTATTTAGATTTTCTTTAAAGTAATTCCTTCTCAGAGCCTTGGAAGAATAACAGTTTTCAAAATATTACAACCACATAACACCTACATATTCTTCCTTCATCATGAAAATGAATAGGCAGTCCCTCTGTGCATCAACATTTTGTTAGTAAGATGATCACCCTAATCAACATGGGAATAAGTTGGACACTAAAATAAACAAATCCAGGTGCTATGTTTCCTGTAACATAAACAGTTTCCCCTTTTAATAAATCTACTTAAAGAAGACTCAGAATCCTGCCAATATGTGGCTGTTAAGAACACATTCACAAGGAAATTGCTCACCATCACCAGACTGGAGTTAAAACCAATAATTGCTCATCATCAATGTCTAGGAAATCTCACTTACGCCTTAACTCTATTGGAAGATATAATTTAGAGTTGGGAATTAAAAAAATAAAGTTTAGTGCTTCCTTTCTTGATCTTTGATAATATGTTATCAAAGAATTGTAACTATGGGATTCTTGTCTCAAAGAAAAATACTAAATATAACAGGTTGGGCTGGGCATTGTTCTGTTAATAATTGTTGTGCCTATTTGCTGCCTTGCCCAGCAGAATTGGTATTGTTTGAGCTGAACACCTGTGCCAGGATATTTTTGCCTTAATATTCTTATGGTTCCCTTAAACCTTACTCATAAGCCCCAGAGCCATGGAGTCCTTTCCGATCATTTAACAAGTAGGCTAAAGTTGTTCCTGTGCTTATAGAAACCACTGCTTGAGCTCTACTGTCATTTGTACTTGTCTCCTTCTCCACTTCCATAGTTTTATCCTAAGGTTTTGTCTTTCTTTCCTCTTCTTCAACCCTGAAGTATAACGATGTTACAAGAGCAAGGGGAAGATTCTGGAATTTCTCACTGAAATGGAGCTAAAATTTATGTATTACCTCACAAACAAGTAGTCTCTTTTTTTCTTAACAAGATTTGAAGGGGGGGGGGCTTTTTCCCTTGTCACACTCTTCTTTTTAATTTCTTAGTAAGTCCAGCATTTTGCTCCATATTTGGCATCTACTTTGAAGTAGTTCACTTCTTCCTCACATCTTTGTCCCTAGAATAGGGAACAGTTGACCCTGATATGCTCACCTGACCCCTGAGAGCCAATAGAAGAAATTCATACTATTCAAAAGAGACAATAAAAAAACCTAGGATGGAAACAAAAAGACTAGAACACATCCCCTCTAGCAGCCAATATTCAGATAAGCAAGGATCAATACCAAATAACCATCAGGCAGAAAACAATTCTTCTAATCAAGGAAACCCAAGGAAGAAGCTATATCCACATAAAACTGGCAAGGCAACCTACTATATATAAACAGCAGCAAACCACCAAATCATCACTTGCACCGATGATGCTACCTACTTAGGTTATGAAATATCTGCAAACAAACAACCATGCTCAGTGAGCACTAAGGACTCTACAGTTAAATCTTGAGCTATAGGTATTCCCATCTACAAGTATGAAAGAATCAGTTGTAGCCTTTCTGGTTGCTGGAATAAGTTGCCATTTGGTACTGAGCTGTGGTGGTGCAGTGGTTAGAATGCAGTATTGCAGGATAACTATCTACAGTCAGTAGTTCAATCCTGATCAGGTCAAGGTTGACTCAGCCTTCCAAGGTCAGTAAAATGAGGACCCAGATTGTTGTGGGTAATATGCTGATTCTCTAAACTGGTTAGAGAAGGCCATAAAGCACTATGCAGTAGTATATAAGTCTAAGTGCTATTGCTATTGTTGTTGCTACTGTCTCAGTCTCTTCTGTGGGAGGGATGAGTTGCTGCAAAAAGTATCTAGAGTAATTGCATTCAATTAACAGCTTTGAGCTTCCTTTTTGAACAATACAGGCACTCATCCAGTTCCTTTCCTGCTGTTTCTACTGCCCTAATGAGAAAGGGGTTTGATTGTTCTGGAGTAGCATGTCCATAATTCTGGAAGGACTATTGATATTAGAATCACCTGTGCACCTCTTACAGATTTGCTTATTTATTTGATTGACTGATTATGTATATAGCCTCCCATTTTGTGGCATGCAACACTGAGCAGCTAACAGTCTATACAAATTTATACAAATACTAGCAGTAAAAACATAGTGTCTTCCATTTTAACTGTGAAATTTTAACTGTGAAATCCTGATGACATTTGATTGCATTCACTAGGGAGGTGAAGAAGCTTGCATTGCCTACTTTCCCCAATCTTGGAGACCTTCTTTTTATTCTGTTGGCTATGTGGCAAGGGGAGGAGATAATTCCTTTTTTTGTGGTAGACTGTATAATCATTCACTCTTTTATTTTTTTTCAGAGTTTGGAGTGGAGAGGGTTGAGAAGGTTAATTCCGGGTCCTGATGCTCCTTCCAGGAACACAGGAAGGAATCCTTTCATGGCCTGGCTTTCTCATGAAGAGGGAGTTACCATACAGTATTAACTCTGTCAGTCCAGGGACAGGCAACAAAAATTCTTCAGGCAACAAAAAAACCCCAAAATATTGTTAATTGATTTCCCATTCAAAAAGTATATTTAATGATACAAGTTCAAATTCATGAAACCAGAAAACTAGAAAAGCAATCAAATGATAGCCTTAGGCTATTTAATTGTACAAAGAGGAACAAAGATAGCTTATTCAAAACAAGAGCGAGCTATTTTAGCATTGGAACATTTTTGTCAGAAAACTAAGCCGCACTATATGTGTGTTTATATATGTGACCCTCCGTATGTGTGTGTTTGGTTTTGAGTTAATAGTAAAGATATAGTGAACACAGCTGCACAGCCAAATTGGAAGAATTATAAACTATTAAGGAAAACTGGAACAATTCCCAAAGGCAACTCTAGGAACTACTCATCAAAAACAAAAATATTTTAAAATGTTGGCACCTGCCAAATTTTGCTTAGCTGATTTTAAAAGAAGTTAATATAATAAAATGAAAGGAGTAATTTAAAAGGTTTAAGCTGAGGCACAGGCTCAGTTCTTATGGTTTATGCCTAGTGTGGTTCCTTTGGCAAGTGACAAAATCCAACAGGAATTAGGATTCATCTCGACAGCATTTTATTTTGCAAAGTGAAAAATATTTATGCCAAATTATCTCTGTATGAAATGTATGGGGTGAGGTCACCTTGTAAAGCCTGCAGTTAGGAAAGGAGAAATATAACTTGGGGTTGTTTCTCTAAGAAAAAAGAATCTATTGGTTTCTTTTACATGAAGTTCCACAGTTGATCTAACAGACAATTAAATAGGGCTTGCATACATCAGACCTTGAGAACTGAATTTTCCAGTCAAAAAAGGAAAACATGAATTCTGTCCAACAGGAAGAGCAAGGTACTGGAAAAAGCACTTGATGTAGAGTGATTTTCAATTCATTTCAACTTCAGTTTACACAACTGTTAGATCAAATCTATTCTTTATATAGTTTTACCACTGGAAATTCTGGAATCTCTGCTCCTCTATCTGAAAGACCCTAAGTTGGGAAGACTGTAATAGCCATACCACTTCAAAGAATGCATGCATATTTCAGTGCTTGTCTATTGAAATGTAAAAAGTAACATGTTAGCTATGCTTCTTGCCTTGTTATCCTAATTTCCTAATGTACAAGGACTCAGGTAGAATATACAATATTCAGGCAGAAAGATGAACATATCTAATCTCCCTCTATTTTCAGCATGAATTAGTCTAGTTTGGGAAAAATTGTCACATAGTCCTGCTGAATTTGCAAGCTCACGCAAAGAATTCCTCATTTGGCACAAATAAGAACAAAATATTTTTGTAAGAGTTGCAGATATAAAAGATGCTGACAGCAAGCTATAACTTGTAGGCTCCTATTAATCACTATGGACTAAGTCAGCAAGGAATTACGCTTGTGAAGAACACATCACATTTAGACTGCAAACTGGTAGGCACAGGTGTGGACATCTGCAAAGTCCCATTTATCTTTTTCCCCCACAGGCATGCAAAGGAAATGATTGTATTTCCCCTTGTGGAATAATTTTAAATATCTCCTTACCCACTATGGTCTCCATTCAGAAGTCCTGCAATAGCACCAGGAAGTTCAGATTTAAGAACATAAAGATAAGAAGACATAGCTGCAAATATAGAACCAAGTATTAGTGGAATGAGATACTGGCCATTCTACATTGGGACATATTGGTTCAGAGTAGAGGGGAAGAAAAAGGTCTAAAGGCCTCATTGAACCATGTGGCACCACAAATGTAACCCAATTTTTATCTTTCACATATTTATGACAAAGATTCAGGCATGTGAATAACATGAATACATTTGTTTTAGAAGTAACTGAACTGTGAATTGCTCTACCTTTGAATCCTAAAGCAATCTTTTCTAACTTGGTGCCTGACAGTTAACTAGGACAAGAAGTTCTACTGGGGATGCCTAGAGTTTCAGATGCACACATCAAGATGCATCAGATTAGGAAAGGTTACTTTATGTCATTCATTCATTCATTCATTTCTATAGCTGCCCCTCTGTAAATGACTTTGAGAAGCTTACAATGCAAAACATATACTACTATTAAAAAATGTAAAACATCTTAAAACAATAAAAACAGTAAAAAGCATTAAAAAGCAGTAGAGAATATTAAAACATCTTATTCATCATTGATTATACTAGTCAACGACTACTTCAGCTTCAACCGCAACAAGAGCACACAACAGATAAACTCAATGTAAACTGCTCCAAACTTGATTGCAGAAAGTACGACTTCAGCAACAGAGTGGTCAATGCCTGAAATGCACTACCTGACTCTGTAGTTACATCCTCAACCCCCCGACTCCTTTAACCTCAAACTATCCACTATTGACCTCACCCCATTCCTAAGAGGTCTGTAAGGGGTGTGCATAAGTGCACCATCATGCCTCCCGTCCCTGTCCTATTGTCCCCATTTAATCGTACCTATTTTCTGTATTCTTAGCCATGTTTATACTTATACCTATTATCTTGTAAGCGACTGACAAATCAAATAAATCAAATAAATCAATATAGATAAAATAACGCCATTTATTCCCAACAAGAGGTAGGGAAATTAAAGATGCAACTAAAATCAGCCTGTGACATTGATTATTCACCATTGAGGGTCTCTACCATCCTTGTCATGATGATGGACACTTTCTTTACAAGCACATCAACAACATTTGAGTTCTGTGACCATCCAAATTTGTACTCTTCATTTAATGCCAACTTTTGTTTTAGTATTTACACTGGAAAACCAAGGCATTTGAAATCCTTGGGAAAATACCCAGATATAAAACAAGTTTATTCATGAAGAAGTTCTTCATGGTTTGTGATAATAAAATCACACATATTTATGCCTTGTTATTAGATTAAAATAGTTAAATAGCAGTTATAAAAATTTTGCAGCCCTGAAATATTATATACTGTATGTTGAAGTGCATGAATATGACATCTATAAAAATGTATTGTATTAAACTAGAATCCCATGTACCTACAGCAAGGTAAAATTAAAAACTGGTGAGATCACTAAATAAGGAATCATTCATGTATTGATTCACAGAGCTTCTCCTAATCAAGCTGACCTTCCCAACTGACAAATTCTTAAGACCTTTCATTTAATTTTGTAGTTTGATCCCTTTGTTTCCAAAAAAGAAAATATGATTAGGTGTTAGAAGGGCAGATAATCTGAAAATTATGAGGATATCTGAAGAGTTATAAAACTGCTGTTTTCTGATGGTGACTAAAAGGCACGAATTAATGCAGAGGATTTTTTTTAAAAAAAAACCAAATAAATGTGAAACTTTTGCTTCAAAACACCTTTCTCTAATTTCCATTAAGCAGCTATATTGTGCATATCTTGAAATGAAAGATCAAATACATCACGACTATTTTTTTAAAGTCACATCAGCCTTTTTTTAAGCCTTCAACTGATTTCCAGATCAAATTTCCTGCTAATATACAATCTGTCACTCTTTTCCATACATGTATTTTAGCCTCTGGCTAGTCATTTGATCATTTTTATCCTCTGTTGTGTGATTGACCCTTTTGTTTCCTAAACAACAGAGTTACTCCTTTGAATACCTCTCAAAAAAAAAAAAAACCCTCAATTTTCTGTTATACTCCACTGTCATTATATAAACTAAAACATTTGTGTTCTACCTCTCATATACAGTGTTCCTTTTTTTTTCTTAGAGACAATAAAGGAAATGAATGCCAAATTAATGAATATAATTGTGCCCTTAGGCTTCCTCAAGGATATGTTCCCTTTTGTTGGCTGCTCATGAGCAAATGATACTATTTGGATGAATGTGTTTTATCCACAGTTTAAATATTAAAAAGGAAGGAAGGAAGGAAGGAAGGAAGGAAGGAAGAAAGGAAGGTAAAAGCTACCGAGTTGTTGATACTGTTTCTTCCATGCCTTCCACATCAAGGGAAGGTTTTCACATATAAAGATTGTTAGGAATATAAGTCACCTAACAGGTATTTGGGTTAGAAATATATAAACCAGGATAAACATTTTAGTACTATATATTTAAGGGAATGCAAGAACATGAAATTGGGTGTGGTTTCTCAAACAGCCATAAGATGGAGCCAGAACCCTGGGTTGTTTAGTCTTAATCTCAGAAGAGAGTGTGTCTCTGTCTGTTTCCTTCTGTTGGAAAGTATTGCCGTTCCTCCATTTTTCCTAATTGACTGATAATCCAGGATTTGATGTAAGTCTGATACTGAACTGTTTTTGACACTGGAATTTGATATTTGGATTATCCCTGGATTGAAAAACTGACTGATTTACGTGTGAATGACTTTGGACAGCCTATCTTGAACTTTGCTTAACGTTTCTGGAAGTAAAAACCTACATTTACTGTACAGTGTGAACTGTACTGTGAACTGTGTACTGTGTGTGTATTATCCAAACACTTCTCTCAAATACGTCTCCCTGTATGCGCTCATTCTCCTAACAGGGAATTACCTCAACAAAGATCACCTTCAAATAATAGTAATAAATAGTGGAAAACCACCAGTCAGTAATTTGAAACAACATACTCAGAAATAAAAGGAAATGAAATATAAACATTCATTAATGTTTATTATCCTAAATTATAATATTCACAGCTGCCCTGTCAGTTGCAGAAACAAGATTCAAAAAATAGTGCAGCACTAATGTGTATGAACTTATTATTCTGCTAATTGAGAACTAGTCAGAAACTAACTTCCTTTTGTATAATTTTAAATTATAAATGTTACTGAGGATGGAATGTTAACCTATAAACTGTACAAATTAGCTCGTTTAAATTGATTCAAAGCTTTTGCCTTCCATGTAGTTTCTCAGATGAAAGTTTTATAGGCAAATGTTGGACTGGTTCTAATTGGTGCTAGAAAGTGGGATCAAATTGTTTGTTTTTTATGTATCTGTCCTCTAAGCTTTACAATAGCCTAATTTATGTATGATCTTAAATTTGCTTTGTTTGCCCTTGTCTTAGCATGTTATGTAAATCCCTTCACGTGCTAATTTAATTTGCTCAACAAACCAGTTTAAAAGGTCTTTGCATAACGTTTAATTCTGCTCCACTCTGTAGATTCATGACATCTTTCACTGTTTGCACACATGAGTATCATTGCTTATTAGCTTTTAGGACTAGCACACTCCATCCTTACTTTTTTCTAATTCAGCTTTCATTATACAATTACTTTCCATGTTGCATGGTTGTCACTGAAACCAGGTAATAATCTAAGTCCTTCTGATGAAAGGTGAGCAAATGAGTTAAATATTGCAAATGGAATGTTTGTAGCCCATATAGATTCAATGAGCTTGGTGAAAGCAAAAATCCTACAATTCCCTCATCCCCAAATTCTACAGTTCAGACATGGGAATGTTAAGCCTTTTGCACTTTGCTCCTGGCAATTTGAATACATTCACCATCTCTCTAATGCTCAGGATCAGTATGTCAAATATGGTATCAATTATGTTTGTTTCCCAACCTGGCTCAAGGTCAAAATGTCTGCTTTTCCATATACTATTTAGAATTCTAAACTGGTAAAAGTGGATGGGGTTTGAGCTTCCTGTGCAACTCCCACTAAACTGCCACAAACTTGATTTCACATATAGCACTACAATCCTGCTACATATCGGGAGACTCAGACAACCCTGAAGCAACTTAGTGTGCAATGATTTTCCTCCCCAGTAATAAGAATTGAAGTGGGGGGGTGGGACTTCAAGACTGCAACAATGAGCTTATTTCCATTGACCAAAAACTGACATGTAGGCACAGGTTGTAATTCTGCTTCTGATCCTATGAGCTACCAGCATGATTCACTATGACAAGAAACTTTATTAATTGACTTGGATACTCCAAAGAGAAAGTATAACAACAAACTTGAATCTACCATAATTTTGAAGGATTGTTCTCTTGGGCTACTAAGCTGGCATAACATAACTATTTGTTAATGTTTATTATTTATTAATCAAGGAGTGATGGTTTTACTTATGATTTCCTCCTTCATGGGAGCATGAAAAATTGTGTCACTGTTTAAGAGGCATTTTATTGACTTCATAACCGAATAACAGAGTTGGAAGGGATCTTGGAGGTTTTTTAGTCTAAGCCCCTGAATCTCTTCTTAAAAACCTCCAGTGTTGCTGTATAGATGAGTAGAGAGCATGAGTAGAGATAAGTCCAGTGTAGATGAGTAGAGGCATCATTTTTTTCAAACTAATGGAGAATAACATCTCTATAATTCGTCCACAAGATGCCTACCTAACTTTCTCTTGTAGAGGTTATCCTACAAGAGAATCCACTATGCTTGACTAGACAGAAAGGAAGACTTAATAAATAAAATGGGAATAGTAAATGCATAGCAGAAAATATAAACTAAAGCCAAGCGAAGCCAAATATGCATTTTTGGACTTCAAAAGCAGATTTCACTAAACTCAGAACAACAACAAACAGAATCCCTAATGCAGAAACCAATGAAAAAGGGAGTGTTGCAAAAGTTCCTAAAAATGAAGATAAGATAATGGCAAGTACAAATGGAAGGAATAAATGGAGGACAGAAGAAGCTAATGTGGCTGTAGAAAAAGCCTGATGAAATCAGAAAACAAAGCAACAAAAAAAGGAGATATAGGAGACTGAAAGAGAGAAGACACAAAATAAAAGTAGCCTGGAAAAGCAGAAGAGTATCAGCAAAATTCATGCTTAGAACTACTAAGGCTTGCAAAAGATGCTAAGAACAGCAAAAAGGGGTTTGTTTATCCTGATATGTACAAAAAAAAAGGAACAAGAAAGAAGTTAAATATAACTCAGCAGTGTGATGTGGTTGCAAAAATATAATTACAGGCTGCATCAACAAAAGCTTGAATCGAAGTCATAGAATATAACAGTTTTATTCTGTATTGGTCAAATCTGTGCACCATTTTTTCAGAAGGATTCAGACAAACTAGATCAGGTTTGAAGAAGAGCAATGAGGGATTAAAAGATCTGGGATTGCTTAGTCTTGACAAGAGAAGATAAGGGAATATAGGGGAGCATTTTTTAAATACCTGGAAGAATATTAAGCACATGATTAAGATCAGGTCTCCGCTATGCCAGAATTCAAGACACAAAATAATGGACCAATGTGACAAGAAGGGGAATTCCAACCAAATGTTAGGGGGAAAAGGTAGCAGATGACCAGGCTGAGTCCAAGGAAGGGGTCAAGCACATCATCAATCTCAAGCCTCTTTGCACCCATAAGACATCTAAGTCTGGCCCACCTTGAATTCCTTTGACTTTTATCTACTACCAACTTGCTTTGACTGTTAATTTTTCAGATTCCTGTAGAGCAAGGGGGTCATGGGCCGGATGCATCATGCTCAGGCCACACCCACCCCAACTCCACAAAGGCAAAAAAATATCACAATACGTCACATGATGTCACATAACGTGATCAAGTTTGCCACCCGTGCTGTAGAGAATAATAGCATGCAATAATCCTGTATTCATTTGAACCGCCTTGGTTCCAGATTACTTGCACCTGACATAAACCTTTCCAAAAATAAGAGCAGTTCAACAATGGAATCAATTACTTGGAGAATATTAGATATCTATGCTGAATAGGGGGATTGGACTCAATAGTCTGAATCTTCCAAATCTATGAATCCATTAGTATTACTTTTATCATCATCATAGTTACCATGATCATCACTACATATGCATAAACTGGCTGACATTCATACTTAACAGCAACTGCCAACTGGGGAAAAATGGCAGCAATTGAAATTTTGGAAGGAAGAGAAAGACTGAGTTTGTTAACAGAATTATGTCAATTACATTCATTCATCTTCATTACAGAAATTGTAATCTAGGTTTCATTGCTAGAGTTCATGCTTGTAGATAAGAGGAAATATTGCAAAATGACTGGAATCACATGAGCTGGCTTGTATGTAGTATGTTTTGAATATGTCTTCAAGATATTCATAAATGACCTAGATGTGAGGACAGAAGGAGAGTTCATCAAATTTAAGGATGATACCAAGTTGGGGGAATTGTTAACACTTTGGGAGATAGATTCAAGATGCAGAAGGATTTTGATTCAGCCTATGATTTTGTGATTCCATGATTTTATGTAAGAATAGTAAAACAAATATAAACTTCAGAAGATGCATTACTTTGCCATCGGTTTGCACAATGCTGACACACAGAAAGCAAATTTTGTTTTTACAGTTTCACAATCATAAAGTCTTGGCTCCAGCTTTCCCTAATTACTCTGTCCACAAATAAAAGATCAATGCCAACATTTCAATTTGGTGACAAAAGGAGGGTATTTACTGAAGTATTTTCAAGACACCTTTAAAAACATCTCATGTGTGGAAAGAATGAACTGCATTCTCTCTGGCTAGTTGTTCCTCACTAGTTGGTTTGGTTCATAATGTTGTGGGGAAGTTTATGAAACAATCTTAAGAAAGTACAACATAGAATTTTATTTCAGCAAGTGGCCATATGAACATTTTAGACTCTAATACTCCTATTGTCAATCATATGGATATTTAATTTGCAAAGTGATTTGCCCTCTTTATGATTGCTCCAATGAGTCTGTGAAAAAGTGAGATCTATTCTTTGACACCTGGGGAATTATAAAGTTGAACTATATTTACTTTTCTCAACTCACTGATCAAACAAATGAGATTCTCTACCTTAAGATCCTCTTGTAATGCCAAACAAAATCCATGGAGTTGAACCTAGATAGATGGACAAACTAACAAACAACCTTGACTCCACAGGATTTGGAATGTTATATCCTTTGCATTATTCCAAATAATACTCAACATATTACCAGTTAGTCCCCAAATTCAGAAATATCTGTAATCAAATCATCTAACCTTAGTCTACATAATATATAAAGGTTGAATAATGCAACCTATAACCAGCCTTTTTTCTTTTAAAAAAATGACCCCCTCCTTAAAATACAATTCTAAAAACATCCTGGACTACTTTCTACATTATAGAAGAAAAATAGAACAAGTCTTAATGGCTCCAAATTGCTCAACTAGCAGACGTCAAACTTGCCTCAATTAAAACAGAGCTGGAAATCCTCAATTTAAAACAGTAAGGTAATTAGCTTTCTGGCCAAACATAGCTTCTGCTGATGGGGTAAGCACTCAAATTAGTCTAAATCTCTCTGTAAACATTCAATAGTTGTGGAAAATACAGAAGGTATTTCAAGATTAAATTAGGCCGACCTCTCCCAAGAAACAGATGCATTATGGCAGAGATTGGTGATGTTTTCTCTTAAGTGCTTGTTTGTTTCATATACACTTGCAATTATATACTGTGGAGAGAAAAAAGCTCTACTTGCAATTTTCAGCAGTGTTTGTCTAATTCTTTGAACTAGAGTTTTATAAAATGTGTTACATGAAAAAAAATGTGTTTTAAGAACTGAGGGGTTAGATCCATTTCAATATTACTCTTCTACACCATGCTTTGTTGGTCTTCCAGTCTTAGTATTTAAATCAACAATGTTCATTAATTCCAATGTTTCTCTTCTCCTATTCTAACTTACCATATAAATCACAAAACTTACCAAACTTTGTCTTTCCCCCAAAAATGTATGCCATTCTAATGGCAAAGGGGATGAGCAAAAAGTCAATATCCTTCAATTTACAAAAGTTTTTCCTATTCTCCTAAGGCCAATTTCCTGTGTCTGTACGACCTGGCAAAGATTATCTGCATGGACAAGTTCAAAAAATCAGGATGGTGGACACAACAATGCAACTGGCATCTTGGAAAGGAATGAAGTCTATTCTGCCTTATTTTTATATAGAACAAAAGAAAACTAGTAATAAAGTAACTTTAACAAGTATGAACTTCAACTCCCAGAATTTCCTAGCAGCATGCTCTGCCTGACAAGCCAGCACTCAGTTTGTCAAGATGGAATATGATCTGCCCCCAGACTTGTTCATGTCCACCTGCCTCAGCCCCACAACCCCGTCCCCAGGTATTATGACCCACAGTTTAAGAATTGTTAATTCAGAGCAAAGCTTCTAAAAATGTTCTGCAAATGTGGACTGACTTGTATGGAAATTATAAGGACCATCGGTTAAAGAAATGCCCTTTCCTAACATTTTTTGTAAGAGGCACTTCTGAGAATGCTTTTTCCAATGTATGAGATAATATTTATGGCTGCAATTGTATATGTCTTTCTATCTCATCCATCTTAAAGGCCTTTTTAAACTAAAATGGTACTGCAAAGTTAAATATTTATTTCATGCGTCTGGTGCCATATACTAATAACTCCAATGAAAAACTTGCTGGTTGAAATTATTTTTCAATACAATCTCTGAATACTAAAGTTTTCAGATTAGAAATTGCCCAACTCACTAGCGATGGACACAAAGGGGAAGTTGACATAGCAAGTAGATTCTGAATGCTAACTATGGGAATACTATAGTAGGCAACCTGATAGATCTCTGTAGGTAGGCAAAAGCTCATAGATTACAGTTTGAGAATCCCTGGCTTAGAGGTCTATTGAAATCAGCTTGTTTCTCCGAAGCATATTTAGATTTAAAAAGCTATCATTCATTCCTCCCCTTGATCGATTGTTTTAATTAGTGCATTTTCTTTTCTTTTCTTTTTTTTGAAAGAACTTGCTTTAGCCCTTTCGCCTCATGTGATTATTGAACAAACATTACACACAGCAAGAGATCTATTAAATAGCTGATACATCTCCAAATAGTCTTATATATGACCACAAGCTTCCTCTCCCCACCTCCCATTGCAAATCTGTCAGCTTTGTAATGGCTTCCGCAGACCTGCCAGCTGAAATCAGTTTCATTTCAAATAAAACACTGAAGTCCATAATTATGCAGGAGCAAATTAGTATGCCGAATTTCTATGCTTCCTTGCACATACATATTTACAAGAACATCTGCAGGACATTTTACATGAGAAAGGCCAAAGGGGACAGACTATGCCACTTCCTTTTCCTTGAGAAAACACCAGTAGGATGTAAATATATTTGCAGTCATAAATATGAATATATCCAATCTATTTTCATTTAATTACCAAAAAATAATGTTTTTTTAAAAAACATTGAAATATAAAGTTAATGAAATAAATGTAAAGTCTAATTTTTATATTTCAAGTAATTGTTCTACAGTTTGAATTGGGAATATGCTAAACAGAGTTACTACTGCCTTATCATTCATTCATACATATTATATAACAGAATTAAGGATTGTTTAATGTACATTCTCTCTGAATGACACTTAGTATTTTAATACCTAGAAGGCTTCTCCTTACCTCCAATGTTCTGTATAATGATTGTACTGGCCACAATAACCTGACAAAACAGTTGATTCGTTTAAGAAAAAAAGAAACATTCCTTGTTGGATGTAAATCATGTATTTAAAAACTCATAAGAAGTTGTTGAATTAAGAAACAAGCTAGATACCTATGCAGCATGGGTTTTAAAATTTATTTTAGAATTAAGATCTAAAAATGGAGGAATAAATTAATATGATTTTTAAAACATTGTACAATTATAATTAGAAGAATAACTGCTATAGGTTTATATATTTTACATCCACTACAATGAAAAAGACATTTGCATGCACAGCTAATGACAATATTCAATTTTCTTTCATGATGAACAAGTTGTTAACAGTCTGTATGGGAAAGTGACATAAGAATATTCTATTTTGCAAGAGGTGCAAAAGGTGCAAGAACAAAAATGAGGGGAAGTGCTGTGGGAGTCATAAACAAAGATATTTCTTCTCTTATGTATATAAAATTCTGTGTAAATACAGGAGTTCTGTAGAACTCTAGGGTATGCTCTAGCCTAGTGCAATAAAACGTTATCTTTGCTTTCTTCAATGTTGGCATATTAATTACAAGAGGAGTTTGGAAATTACCTTCCCAGGAGAACCAAATGCAAAGAGACCAAGATCTTCGTAAGATGTGACAGCTATAAAAAGGAAACAAACAATTCACATGCATACATGTTTACTGGTATATTATATATAGTTAAGACAGTCCTATAAAGTACCAACTTTTAATTTTCATAGATAGAACTAATATGCTCCTTCCTTTTTTAAAAAAAATCCCATTGTGCCAGACCTGATGTGTTTTTTCTACTTATTAGCAAATATATATTTAAACCTATATTTAATATGATAAAGACCACTGCTTTGCATGTGGACCACCCTTATATTGATTTATCACTTCAGAAACATTATTAAGTCATGTCAATATTCTATCATTAACAATGATACCTTTATTATTATTAAATAATAATATCTGCCTAATCTAGGTGTTGGGAAGGACTCAATAGATGTCAGAAATGCTAAATTCAGTTTAAACATCTCATTGGGTGTTCAACAACAACTACAACAACAACAATAATAATGGCTTTCACCCTTTCTATGTCCAAACAAGCTATAAAACAAATTCCTAAATACAACATAGTATACCATTCTATTTACTCATATTGTAATCGTTTCCAAAAAAACATAATCTGGGGAAGAGATTTTGGTAAGTATACCATGTAAAAAAAAAATCCATTTTTTTTTGTTAACTTGGGGTGTTAGAAGCTATATTTGTGAGGTTTTTTCCTAATGCAAAATACATTTTTATAAAGTGTGTGTGTGTGTGTGTGTGTGTGTAAATAAATGAAAAGTTCTTCAGGCATTTTAGGTTTAATTAGCAAAGACCACGAGTTCCTCTTTTGTGTTGCTAAACCTAAACTATTGAAATTTAGTTGCTTGATTCTGGTGGGTTTTTTTTAAGGAATAATAGCTGATGAGGCTTCAGTTCCGATGTGAGTTAAGTTTCCAGTAAGCTCAACACATTAATTTTATTTTAAAAGAAGGGTATCCCCCCCCACCCCCCAACAAGGAAAAAAAAACCAAAAAATGTTGGTTTCCTTTTGCTACACAGTACAATCACTTGGAAGCCAAAACAAAATAAATCCCTCATTTTAAAAATTAGGAGATAATAACTGTTACAAGATAGAAACACTACTGTTGTCATAAGCAAAAAAAGTGTTTTATCCCAACAAAAACCAGTATTGGAAGAGCAGTATCAGCTCTGCAAACATTGGAGTTAATTAAATATTTACTATGTCTAAACCAAGGATATCAAACTCACATTGTCACGTCAGCATCATGTGACGTATCTGGACTTTTCCCCCCTTCGCTAAACTGGGCATGGGTGTGGCCAGTGCATGACACATTTGGCCTGTGGGCCAGGAGTTTGACAATCCTGGTCTATACTATACACAGAAGTTAACATAACAGATAGAAAGATTAGAAGTTTACAGATTAGGCATTTTTTATGTATGTTTAAATAATACGAGGATTACTTAACTTTAATAAATGTGATAGAGATTACTAACATTGTTAGCGTTAATTGGATTAATATGAATGATACCCAGAACCAACTTTTCCTATACACAATAGAGAAATGTTTATCTTAAACAAGAAGGATATAGATGAAGATAGAGGTAAAGATGAGGAGTTAGGCATTTTTTGTTTATGTATGTTTAAATAATATAATGAGGACTATTTAAATTTGATAAATGTGATAGAAATTACTAATATTGTTACTGAAAATTGGATTAATATGAATGATAATTCAAATTAATCCAACTCTGGATTAACTCTCTTAGAACCAACTCTGTTCACACACCATATGGATATATATTTAAATAATAATAATAAAAAATATAAAAAGAAAAAAAGACTTTTACATACATACATACCTATCATGTATTATTTTTAGGGCTAAGCAACATTATTCAAAACATAGAAAGGAAATGAGAAATAGTAATACAAATGCATGAAAAGCTTGAAGAAATATACAATAGATTACACTGATGTCCCTCAAACTCAGTAACTTTAAGATTTCAATCTAAAAATTCCCCAACATGCTAGTTTGGGAATTCGTTAAAGTCCATACCTCTTTGCACTAACACCATCAATTTACCCCTTAAATGTCTTGTATTATCACATTTATGCACCATTGCATACATTGCCTTTTATAAGTTAATAAACTTATACCTTAGAAAATAATTTTCATGGTATATATTTTGTGAAGCTAACACCAATTTTATTAAGCATTTCATTTATTCCAGAACAAGGAAACCTTTTGCCAAATTAATTCTTTATGCCACTCAGAGTCACTTTTTGTGTGATGGGCAGCCATGTAAATGTAATTAACAAACTTTTTTTTAAAAAAAAATGGGGAAATGGCTCAGAATTTCATATCTTAAGTCTTTGAGAATGCATTGCAGTGATAGCCTTTCAATGTGAAACTGCTACTATTTATTTTGGCATTTTTTTCTTTTATTGTCTCCTGTCAGGTATCCTCAGAAGCAAAATAAATCAGAAGTAAATCTTCTGGCATCCATTGGAGCTTGTTCCCATGTTTAAAAGCTCAATATTGCAGAATCAAGGAAATAAATACAAGGGACTTAATATGCCTACTTTTTTATCAAGAGGCCTATTTCACAGACAATTTTTTACCAGCCTCCACTATTTGCTGGATTTTACTTCTAAAAGCATTCTCAGACTGGTCCACCAGACACAGTTAAGCTGTGATTGCTTTCAACATGATTGTTTTACTACTGCTTTTATTGATTAGCTGTAATTTTTACATGTGTTTATTGCATGGTAACTGCAAGTTTAATTTTCTAAATATTGCAGAGGGAAATATTTATGGAGAAGTAATTGATTGGATAAATAATAATTTACATATAACAATAAGATCTTACCTCTTGAATATTTAAGAGCGCAGATCAAATGGAGAATAAGAGGAAGAGCCTTTGAGAAGAACCAAGGAAAGAACCAGAAGAATGAAGAAGAAAAAAAAACCAAACATGAAAAGAACTGTTCCATAGAAAAGTAAAGGCACAGAAGTCCAGCAATTAAAATCAAAACAGGACAGAACAGTATGACAAGATAGCCAATAACAACTGAGAAAACTGAATGGATGAGTTGCAATAACAGAATAAGTAAAATAATCCCAGATGGTTTTCTCTCTCCTATCTCTGACACAGGGACAGGTAAAATAAAAGGGTGAAGAAGAGCTACATTTAAAATATCATCAAAAGTTAACCAGTGGCTTTGTATGACTGTGAGTTTTGATGTTTTTAAGTTTTGCTTGTTACGTCATGGCAGTTGTGATAATTACCCTCTGACATTGGGAGGTGAGGGCAGAAAAGGATATTGTGAGATAGTTTGCACATTCTATTGAATCGCCTTTTGTGATATTGGTATGAAGATTAATTGCTTCCAATTTATTGGTCACTCTGTCATTTACCAATTTCCTGTCATAGTTTGGTTAAAACGTTTATGGATTCTTCTTCTTCTGTTGCTTGCTGTTTTTTTCATAAATGTTCTACAAATTCCTCTAGCCTTGTGATTGGATTTAATTTAATGTAAGGAATTTAATAATCAGAGTGCTGATTAATTTAATTTCCAAGTACCAGAGGTTCTTGTAAATAAGTAGTATCTTTTATTTCTACCTTGAGATGCCTACTGTATAGTATTTCACTATACTCCTTCCAGCTACCGTAATTTAAATCACTATCTTTCATTAGTGCCCTCCTGAGTTCAGAGATACTTTGTAAATAGTTGTCATGATTTTCTGTTTCTTTATTTGGTTTTTTTTTATAGATGTTGAAATACTGCTCTTTTTCTAACTACTTTCTGATACAGTATTCTTCATTAAATTCCTTCTTGAGAATTTTGTTTTCTTGGCTTTGGCTTCTTTAGAAATCTTTTTTCATGGTCTTCTTTAACAACTTCCTTCATTTCATTGCAGTTTTTCTCATTCTTTATCAGTGACACTCTGGACTTCCTAGAGATTCCACATTTTGTAGCTGTATGCACAGAAGCATATGGAAACCTTTTTTCTTTTTTTTTGTTCTAGCTTGATTTAGAACTTGCCCATGATCTGTTTTATAATCAGCCTCTCACAATTTGTTTGCTAACATACCTGGGTTTTTCTACCTCCTTATACCAATAACATATCTAGTTTAATTTCTGTATGCTCCATCTGGCAATGTTTATTACAGAGGTCATTTTAAAGAACGTTATTAATAAAGAAATAATTGGATGGGCAGAAACTGATTGTCATTCTTAACTTCTGTTTTCATACAATGCAATTGTATTTTTCTGCACACTATTTTCAACTTTGGTAGTCCTATCACTAACTGCAGTGCAGCACATCTTATTTGCATGTTCTGTTAGTGGTTAGACATAAATTTGGATAACCATCATATTAAATTATCATACCCATCTTATTGGATAACTAATCCAAAAGGTGTAGTTAATATTATCATCTCATTAACTGCATTGTACCCAAGTATTTTCTTTGCTATATACAGTATGTAGCAAATACTGTCAGTGAAAACAACTGTTTATTTTTGTATCCTGAATAAATAACAATATGACCTTCTGACTGAAAGTGTCAAAGTGCTATACATTTTAATTCGTTGATGCATAAATTACATGGACAGTTGATTCATTTCACTTTTCACTGGAGTTTTCATGCTTCTTACATTCCAAGTTCCTACTTCATTTTGTCTTTGCAGCTTCAGATTTTCTTCTCTTGTATGTCAACATCATCAACTAAATATCCAAAAGGCTTTAATCTAGCTTGTCATAAAGTTACATTATTTTGCTTGGAAAGATCCCTAACTCTTCTTTAGCAGTAATGAATGCCATTTGATAGGGGGAGGGGAGCTGTCATTTCGGTATCATTAGCAATACCCAATGAATAATGAATTAAATAAATATGAAGACAATATTGGAAAGGAATTATCAACTGGCTCAGATAAAAGGAAATATTTTTTTTAAAAAAAGGACCAAAGTTTTCTGGACTTTATTCTACTAACTTCGCATTCACACTTCCACAAAAGACACGCCCCTCTGTGTCTTTTCTTCATATTTCTTTTTTTCTTTTTCAACATATCTCACTTATATGTCTATAAACTTCAGGTGAAAAATTGCCCAAGACAGAGATTATGAGACACTGTTTTTGTTGTACATGACATCTAGCAAGCATGCTTAGCTCCTTTCTAACCCAGGGCAGCAAATATGGTTTCTAATTAAATTTTAAAGAAACGATGTGATAAGTATATGGTTAAAGTGCAGCAAATCCTATTTCAAGGATCATCCATGTTAAGAGCGCTAAAGCATGAACACAATCCTATCACTTCACTGAACGAACATATTAAATAAGAACAAAATTCAGAACTTGTTCTTGAAAATATTCCAGAAATTAAGACAAAATGTGTATCTTGATTTATAAATCACAAAGATAAAAGTTTTTTTTCATCAGATATATAATCAGCATTAATAATTTATAGTCCTAGTAAATAACAATTCAGACAAATTATGGGATAACATCATCATCATCATCATCAACTAAAGAGCACAGAGTTCCATACAGTTTTCTTGGCAACAATGATGTAATTTGCCTTATGTGTATGTGTATGTATGTATATGCATGTATATATGTATGTACATATGAATATACATATACAGGTAGCCAGGTTTGTGCAACAGTGTCACCATCTAAAAAGGCTGCTGACCCTCACAGTAATGTTATAAGGTTATAAATTATTTGCCTGTATTGCACAGACTATTCTAAGGATGTGTCTAGTGAAATGCAGTTTGTAAAATCTAAATATATTTCTATTTTGCCCCCACTAAAGATTTATGAAGTTTTATATATAGCTCTTTAAAACTGTATAGCACTTTTACTTACCAGTGTAAATGCACATAGTAAGCAACAGAAATATAGAATAAGATGCAAGGAGAGCAACAATTAACATCAGCATACTAGGACAAAAAGAGAAATAATTAATGTCAATGTCATCAATCATTGTTTCCCACTAAAGTGGAGAGTTGAAAAGCTACATTTTCCCCCAAACAACCAAGAAAATCATAAGACATATTTCCTTGTTGTATCTTAAAAGATAGAATATAATGCACATGACTGCTAATTCCTTTTTCCATGTTCTGCTTTTTCTGCTTTTTCTCTAATACTGAATTTAGCAACTTTCATGACTCAATCAAATCTAGCAAAAATAACAAACCTTTTGTTACAACATACACTTTAAAGTATCTTAAATGATTGTATTTTATATCTTTGTGATGAGCAGATACCAATGAGTAGAGGAACAATAAATATCAGCTATATGTTTGCTCACTAATCATCGCAGTATCTGGCTCTAGCTATATAAACCTTGAACAGCAAAATGAATCATAATTCCCAAGCGCCCCCCCCCCAATTGTTTCCAATATGCACCCATCAAAACAAATATTTATGCACATAAATACTTTAACTGAAAACTGATATGCCAAAACCTGATTTTTACATAAGTAATTACAGAACTTTAACTTTGAATATTTTAGTGACTAGAATATGAAGAAAGGACTTTTCTACATTAAGAAGATACAATGTTTGGCATTTCTAATTAAATAGTGACAACCTCCTTCAGTCACATAGAAGAGTACTTGGGCTAGCACTGCCAAATCAGACGGGACTGGATTTATTCATTACACTAAAATATAATTTGATTGATTTGCTATTATTGTAGAGGGAAAGTTATGATTACTTGATATATCTGCAAGACTGAATTGGTTCATTCAATAAATCATATTTGAACAATGTGAAAACAGTGCTGATTTCTGTACTACAGTTGCAGAATATAGGACTTCTGATAAAATAAATTCCTACACAAATTCAGACAACAAGCAAGAGATTTCACTGTATTGATTTAATTATTTTCTGTTCTACTATACATAGATAAATAGAAAACAACTTTATCTGTATCAGAATATCTTGCTCGCTATTGTCAGGAATGATAAGCTCTTTGCAGTTAGATAACTCTCCCGTCTTTGGCTGGAGATAATGATGACTGGACCTCATGCAAAGCATCACAATGTACCTTTCTCCACACTATTTTCTTCTGATTTTGTAAAGACATCAAAAATGACATTTATTAAAATTAAATGCCTGATTTTTGTACTTGAAATCATAATTAGTAATGTCCAATAGTATACCACTAGAGACTAAAGGAGGGATCTGGAATTTAACATTTTTTCAACCTGCTTGCTCAGTTTTAGTTATTTTTATTCTTAAAATAATCAGTTTTACTTAAGTTTTTAAAAATCCCAATTCTTAAAGTAAGCATAAATATAAATATATAAGTAAGCATAAATATAAATACTCCAAAATAGAACTGATAATAAAAAACAGAACTGATAATAAAAATATACCTGAATCCAATGATTCCTGTCTTGGACATGACATATGCCAAACCAAGAATCCCACTTCCCATGATAGCATTCATTAAATTAAATACAGAAATGCCAAAGGAGGTGCCAGTTGATACATGATTCAGCGATGCCTGTAATGTTAGAACCAAATGCATTGGTACATTCACATCTCTTAATCTAGGTTAAACAGTTTTTCAAGACCAAACCAAGTATGAAAGAAACCAATTAATTAACAGGTACAGAGTCTCAGTATTCTTAAATCATGTGTTTGACATACAAATATTTTGCTACAGTTGCTCAAATGAGAGCTAATTTAAAATATGCATTTATATTAAACATACCCTAAAGATTCAAAATACAGATTTTGAATGAAATTCCAAAAAAAATCTATGAAAAACAATTGTAGCAAAGCATGTAGCATGTATACTACATGCATATAGCATAATATGTATACATGGATGCATTTCTGCTATGTGGCTTTATGAAGATGCATTTGGGATATCCATGGAGCAAATCTTGGTTACAAAAGACATGCCTACTATCACCATGGGTGTGCAATAATATTTACCCATTCTATAGATTACACAGGGTTGGAAAGTTCCAGGAGACATAACCATGCGGAATACCCCATTTGGACAGGTTGGAAAATTATAAAGTGGGGAGAATCTCTGTTGCATTATTTGCCCTGTGGTAATAGGGCACTTCCATGAGGCTTTAAGATGCTGTAATATATAAGTTTGGTGACAACAATCGATGCTACTTTTTCCCCTATAAGATTGTAAGTTTTCCAGTGCCTCAATTTTTTTAAAGTGTCTTTCAATCGGTCTTGACCTTTGACACCTGCTTGGAAACATCCATAAATGTTTTCAGAAGTGATTTGCCACTGCCGCCTTCTTCCTAGGGCCAAGAGAGAGCAAACTAACCCAACGTCCTCCAGCTGTCCTGAACAGGACTAGAACTCAATCTCCCCGTTTCTAACCTGATGCCTTATCCATTACACCAACTGGCTCTCATTGCTTAGATTAAACGTTTTCAATTGGGGAGGCCACTAGAACTGTAGTCCAACATATTTGAAAGGGGTGCTATTGTGAGGACTTAGGGGCAGTGTGATTTCACATACTAACAAGGTTACATAGTAATGGCAATCAGACCATGTGACTTCTTCACCCTGACTCACCCTAGATGTTTTTCACCTCATGCTTAGATGTGTCTGTACATTTCTAGATATTAAGCTTGATAAGACTTGATAAGACAGCCGATTTGGTTTGCCTTACGATGTGGGTACCACCCAAACATTCCCCCGCTAGGATTTTTGGAGTTGTGGGGGGCACACTTTAAAAGAGTTGCAAAGGTTGCAATCCCTGGGATAGCCCGCGGCTCGGGGTATGAAGCGAATCCAGAAAATGAGTTAATTCAGAAAGTGGGTTAAAACCGCGATTCCTGCCGGTCAGACAGCGAGGGAGAAGGGAAAGCCTGGAAAGCTGTCTGAGAAAGCCGCATCCCCGCACCCCGAAAACCCCCCAAAGCACGACACGCACCGTGTCCGGGGGCGAGAGGAGCGGGGCTCCATCTTCTAAGTCCTGAGCCGACAAATACCATCCCGGCTCGGAATTGACTGTGCAGATTCGCGGTTGCTCCATGGTGAGCCGGGCGAGCAAAGGCTGCAGTAACCTCAGCCCCCGCCGCTTCGCAGTCAGCCGGTCCTTACGACCGACCGGTGGAGGAGGAGGAGGAGGAGGCACTCGGCCCTACCCAGAGCCAGTCTGAGGGCGGGAAGGCCGGGCCGCACCGCCCCCTTCCGCCCTTCGCCGCGGCGACGGGTGATGATGAGGCCGGGAAGGCCGGGCTGCTCTGGGGGAAAGGAGTGAAGGGAACGCGGCACCAGGCCGGCATGAGGTGAGGCCGGGAGACGCGGGAAGGGCCTCTTTCTCCGCCCTCGTTTCGATAGGGAGCACGAGGGAGGGGGCGGGGGGTCTTGAATACGAGGAACCCACGTCGAGCTCCCTTTCTGCAGAGCGTCCCTTTCTCTTTGGAGAGTAAGGCACGTTGCACGTGATGCAAGACATAGGCCAAAGGGATCAAATTTGGAGGGAGCATCGAAACTAAATCCTGCCCGATGGGAGAAATCGGTGGTTAGAAGAGGTTTCATCTGTCTGGCTTATAATGCATAGAAGGGGAACCAGATTGTAGAAGGCTCTTTGCAAAAGCACCCTCAGCAGGTAACCGTTTACCTTGTGAAAACCTCCAATCATAGAAAACTACACAACCTTCGACTGTAGAATAAATAACAAAATTGTCCTAATAACATTGTTATGCTCCTATGCCTTCTTGGTATTTCATTAAGCCGCCCAGAGTCACCTTATAGGAGAGACGAGTGGCATAAAAATGTGATAAATAAAAATAAATAACATTTTAGCAACAATACAACAAATGAAAAACAAATTTCAGTGTGGTAAAATGCTAAAATGCATCATATTTGATTCCATATGTCCTTAAATTGGTTCAACCTTTTTTTTTTTTTTGGAAGCCGACCAAAGGGGTAGCTGGCACCACATCTCATGGTAGTGAATCTCAAAGTTTAATTATGGCAATCACTTGTGAAAATGTTGGTAAGCAAACTGCATAATTTGCTGAGGGAATTGCCAGACTGACTCAAGAGCACGCATAGACACATTTACACAAAATAATGTATAAATCTGATGCCAAAATGATTTAAGAGGAATAATTTAAAAATTTACCAAGATATAAGCAGGCTGGACTGAGAAGAACTGACCTAGTTTAGGTAGTCCTTGGTTAGCGAGCACAATTGAGACCAAAATTTCCACTGCTAGGCAAGATAGTTAAGTGAGTTTTGCCTCATTCTACAACCTTTCTTGCTGCAGTTGGTAAGTGAATCACTGCAATTGTTAAAAATGAATCCGGCTTCCCCATTGACTTTGCTTGTCAGAAGGTTACAAAAGATGATCAGTTGACCTTGGGACATTGCAACTGTTATATGAAACCGTTCCCAAGCATCTGAATTTTGATCACATAATCATGGGGAAGCTGCAATGGTCATAAGTGTGAAAAACAATCATAAGCCAATTTTTTCAGTGGCATTGTAACTTTCAAAATTACCAAAATTATGACTATAAGGTCTAGAACAAGCCAAGATTTTAAACCATCCTTCAGATTTGGTTTAGAAGTTTGGCTTGTTCTGAACATCGCAATAATGATTTGCCACTTTGGATTAAAACAAAGGAAGCTATGGCTAGCAGGGAACTTTCAAGATAATAGAAGAGACTATTTTTAGTTTAGATAGAACTGTGGGGTCCTTGGTGCTCTCTGAGCTTGATGGCTTTCTTGCACATGTTTCATTAAGTATCAAACTAGGTAGCATCATTAGTACTGATGATATCTGCAAGAAAACTACCAAGTTGAGAGAGCACTAAAGATCCCTAAAATGAGTAAGCATGATCAATCTTCTGTGAAATTTGTTGTTATATCAAATCTTACCTAACCCAAAGTTTGGTTTAGACTTACTTATAGGAATAGTTTTTGAGTGCCATACAGACATTCAAACTTGTACTTCTTCTCTGAGTAATATCTAAAAACGAACACTTTTTCTTTTAGATTTTTAAGGCAATTAAAAAGCTTATTCCCTTGCCTTCTGAAAGTGAAGTATTTTGGATCAGAAACATTATTTCCAACACTGTGGATGCTTTGGAACCAGTCTTTTAATCGATTGCCTGAACATCTTCCAAAAATTCAGAGACAAAGTTTCTTCACCCTGCAGGAGATGGCTGATAAGAAACCTGAGCTTGATGCGTTCTTGCCACATCCCAGAGTACGTGGAATGACCACTCTTGACAAAGCTGCTTTCAAAAATGATATTATCATCCCAGCTCTTTTAGTTAACAAAGACATAACAAGCAATCTGCTGAAGTCTCTTAAAGGAGTACTACTCCAGCGACCAGGTCTCAAGAGAGTCGTTGAAGACCCTGACGATGAAAACAGAAAGTACATTTTGTTAGACCCACATAAAATATCTGCTGACGGTTCTCTGGGTGAATCTGAGCAACAGATCTTAAAAAGCTTTGGTATTAACCCTGAAACAGTCAAGTATAACATGGAACTTACTTATGATAATTTCAAGACAGAAGAAATTCTGAAAGCAGTGCTTCCTGAAGGCCAAGAGATCACTACAGCCTTCAGCAGAATTGGCCATATTGCTCACATGAATCTGAGAAGCCATCAGCTGCCTTATAAACATTTAATTGGTAGGTTATGGTCAGGAATTACTGTGTAATCAAAAAAAACCTGTAGAAATGCTTTTTAATGGTTTCTAAAGAGATAATTGGGCTAATATTTTAAAACTAGATATGAAAAATCATTTGAGCTTTTCAATGCCTAAAAAATAACGTAAGTTGTTTTATATAGTTCAGCAGCAATAAATCTTTTGTAAAGGATACTGATGTGTAGCCTACTGCATAAATTAGCACAATATGTGAAAAAGAATTTAATTTAAAGCAAGGTCAGGTTCAATGGTTTAAACGTTTTTTAAATTTAAAAAAAAGAGGAAGGTACTTTATATCAGCTCAGAATATCAATCTAGCCTTGGCAGCAGCTTTCTAAAATTGGAGGCAGAGGTCTTTTCCCGTCAGCTGCTAACCAATCCTTTTAAATAAAGATGCTAGGGAAATCGAAATTTGTGACCTTCTGCTTGAAGAGTATGAGCACAAGATGCTGAGCTGTTATCTTCCTACAGTTGCGTATTCAGGGAAGCCGTAGAATGCAACAGAACCTGGAGAAATAAATGGAATATTCAATTTCCCTGAGTTTAAATATGAAGTCATAGAATTGCATCTTTTGCTTGACTTTTGGCTGTGGTTGAAAGCAACACTGCATCTCTTTCTTTCCGTAATCTTAGGCACAATTGATTTGGGTAAAGCATTTCCATCAATTTTGTCAGTTTAAAAGCGCTGAAAGCAACTGTATTTCAGTGCTGTCATATGGTTCAGTCCCCTATTTCTAGGCAGCCGGTGAAGGGGTGAGGGAGTGGGAATGGTATATGGAATGGCAGAGTTATGGTGTATGGAAGGCACATAGTGTAGTGGTTTCATGGCACAATAAGCTCAAGACAATGATTCCAGCAGCATCCACAGAATGCCAAGCTTAAGGTTTTATCCCCACCCCATCCCTTCAGAAGGCACGGATAACCTGAAAGATGGTCTCTGCATTGTATAAAATAAGAGGTAGTATGTCTGCGTAATGTAAAAAAAAAAAAAGAGGTAGCATGTTACATTTATCAAATTTTGTGAACCATAAAGATTCCGGGTGGCATGCAACATTACAAACAGCAGGAGCCAAGATAAAAGATAAGGAATTATATACTTCCAGAGGAAAAGACATTAAAATTAACATGTAAAATCCCCCCTTCCCCCTCCCCCCAAAAGGCTCACCACTTATTTCTAAACCAACCTCTGGGGAAAAGCCAGGATTTCAAAGACTTTTTACATGGGAGTTCTGCTCTGATGTTTTTACATCCTAATTCTTGTTAATATCCAAAATTGTCAGCTGGCAAAATGCCAGCTTCCTCCTTTCAGCAGTCCCAGTGGCTGTATACTGGCAATAATCACAGGTCTCTGTTCAATGTCTCTGTTTTCCCTTTGATCATTCCAGTCTCACTGTTGTTGGTTGATGTTTCCTATACTGAGTCAAGAATATTTTGGCAGTTCTTTCTATGTATAGACTGAAAGGACAAAAGAGTAGATCCTGTATGGGAAAAGTCCCTCCTGCTTCCCCTTAATGAAATTTTCTGTTGAGTAAAAATGCACTTGGATAATATAAATTCTTGAATTCAAATTTTTGAATAATTCATTCAAATATTTAAGAGGGTATACAAGTTTTGTTTTATGTTCAAAATTAGAGACCAAGGTTCCCATCTTCTCTAGCCATTTCTCTTTTTCCATGTTTGCTGCCTTTTTATGATTGCGTTTTCCTCTCTAATCTCTTTAAAATAAAGGAATATTACACTGAATGATAATCTAATTGGATTGAGGGTGCCACTGTGGCTTGTCAGGCTTAAGGTACCATTTTGTCCCTTAACCATGCAACAAACTTCTCCAAATGAGGAAAAATAAATGTTAAATTGTAAGCTTTTTTCTGTGTAGTGAAGAATATAATGTTAAAAGGTTTCAGAAGCAAGCATTGTGGCAGTTCCGTAGAAAATAGTTTTAAGGAGCTTCCCTTAGAGACAAAGAGATGGTCAGGCCACATTCCTTTGCAAGGATAATACAATCCTTCTCCTCTGGAGAAGAACTAAAGAATAAATAAAATTACCTTTCTTTGTTAAGAAATGAAGCACTCATTTCATGGAAGAGGTTTTCTGTACTTTGCTTACCACCTTTATCTTAGTTATTAAATGGTCAGGATTTTTGTTTTGTTTTTTTCACATATTTGACTTTCTTTCAGGACAAGTTATCGTTGATAAAAATCAAGGAATAACCTGTGCTGTAAATAAAATCAATATTATAGACAGCATGTATCGAAACTTTGAAATGGAGCTACTAGCCGGAGATGGTGCCAACATGATAACAAAGGTACCGAGACTTTCAGTTGTATTTTATTCTAGCAAAAATAATGCTCTTAACATGGAGATTCAAGTAGACATTATTGAACGTTAGACTATTTCTTGTCTGCCTCTCAATTCTATAGATATCTGAAAATCTGTGTTTTCAGATATCCTTGTCTGAATAAAATTGCAGCTCTGATTAAAAGGTTCTAGTAAAAGGAATTTACCAATGGCTGAATTTATGTAATGTCCATGCACACACATATGTATAGAGAAAATGAATTCTTGCAGAAACATTTGTTTTGGATCTAGTTTAGGAACTATTATTTTTTTCCTTCTTCAAAATCAAGTTGTTTTATTTAGTATTTATTCATATGGTTTGAATACAGGTAGTCCTCAGGTTAAATCACTATTCAATGACCATTTAAAATTTCAGTGGTGCTGTATTTGGGGAGGGGAACCTACGAATGGTTTGAAGTTATGAGTATTGCAACCTCCTTGCAGTTATATGATTACCATTTGCAACAATCCCTTCCAGCTTCCCACAAGCAAAGTCAATGCAGAAGCAGGCAGAGAAAGTTTCTGTTGCTACTTTTTCTTCCAAGGAGCCCTGTTACGGTAGACAAGAACCCTGGGATCTCCTCATAGCCCCTCCTCGCCCATCTGCACTTGCAAATGGCCCCTGCCAGCCTACTCATCTTCAACATTGCCCACCTCCTGCCCCTGCTGGCCCATCTGTAGTACCTATCTGCCCTTGAGCCTTGCCCACTGACCTCTTTGACTTGGACTCTGGTCATGTGAGAGCCCCTTAATGACTCAGCCTCTGATGCTGGGTGCAAAATATCAAGGCCACATGTGAAGGGCCAGTTAGACTGATTTATTGCTATTCATGCCTATGCACAGGAATATTCTCAACTAACAATACCTGCTTGGAGTTAAGATACGGGTCAACGGAATTCAAAGATTGGACTTAATTCGCTTATGGCTATGTAGGGATTCTTGGCTGATCCCTCTTTTACCTCTACCCCCAATTTCTGTCAGTCCTTCTACATTTCAGTTATGACAATAACTGTGACTGCCTGAATTGTCCTTGATAAGGAAGATGGTGAGAGATAGTTGCATTTGATAACCACCAGAATTAGGACTCATATATACAAGGCTGGTCTTGTATTTAGGATTCCCAAAAAGGTGTCTGTACTATATTGTTTTCTATATTACCCTGTTTTTGCCTTCAGGATATACTATTGATATTTTCAACTCCCTGACAGGGACGGTTGATACAAAATTAGCATGATAAGATTGTTTCTGCTCATAGAGGATAACATACATAAATGTATGTTCTCTTTAAAAATAAGAACTTGTTTAAAATATATATTACTGAAGAAGCTGTAAACCAAACTGTCATTCTTAATTTTCAGAAGCATGACTTCAGATAGTGACAGATTTATTTTATTAGTATTTTTTAAATTTTTAAAAAGCCATCTTGAAACTCTGCATGGGAAAGTCATTGGTGCTTTAGAGTTTTAAATTGTTTTTTTTTTCAACAGATGAAAACTAGATCTCACATTGATATAAAACGCCAGTTTTATAAGGCTTACTGGTAGCTATGTACTTCTAAGTATCTGTCCATTCTTACACCATAAATGCTTAAGGTTGATATAGAGCTATGGGGTTGTGTGTCCTGTGTCTTTTAATTAGCATGACTTTTATATAGACATGACAACATATTTGTTCAGTCATTCAATATAAACACGATTGTTCCTTTAGAACAGGGGTGTCAAATTCAAGGGCCAGATTCAGGCTGGGGGTGCTTAGATCTAGCCCGTGGAGCTGGCCTGGAAACAGCTCAATTTTTGCTGGCAGAGGGCTATCAAAACAAACTAAAAACAAAACAAAAGGAGAAAAGTTTCCCCTTTTGCATTTGAGCATGCAAAAAGGGACAAGAAAGGAGAAAAAGAAAGACGAAAGACAAAGAAAAAGAAGGAAAGATAGAAAGAGCAAAGAAGGAAAAATAAGGAAAGAGGGGAAGGCAGAAGAAAGGAGAATGAAGAGGGAAAAGGAAGAAAGGAAGGAAGGAAGATTATAATCAGCGAGGGAAGGTCTCAGGGATGTCCTGCCTTAGCACCTGGCTACCATAGGTGCCCCCGACATGAGTGATGTCGAGCCGGCCATTGCCACTATGGCCACTCCCACCCCTAGCCCTCCAAGGTCAAACACAAACCAGATGCAGCCCTCAATGAAATAGAGTTTGACATCCCTGGTCTAGAATGTACTATAAACACATTACATAGAATGGCTGACAGGAACTTTAATTTTTGGTATAAAATGTAATCTTTCATTGCATTTCACTCTTCCTGACCTTTGGCAGCTAACTGTCGGCCTATTCATTTGAACTCTTGTAGGTTAAAGAAAACTATATCTCATATGAATTTGATTTTTCCAAAGTCTATTGGAATCCTCGCCTCTCTACCGAACATTTGCGGATTGTCAACCTTTTAAAGCCAGGAGATCTTCTCTTTGATGTCTTTGCAGGGGTGGGGCCTTTTGCAATCCCTGCAGCAAAGAAGAACTGCATGGTGTTTGCAAACGACCTCAACCCTGAATCATGCAAGTGGCTCCAGCACAACTGTAAACTAAATAAAGTGGACAAAAAAGTCAAAGTCTTCAACCTAGATGGCAGGAATTTCTTGAAAGGGCCAGTGAAAGAAGAACTGAACAAGCATCTCTCTTTGAAGGAATGGAAAAATTCTGTACACATCATCATGAACTTGCCAGCCATGGCAATTGAGTTCCTGGATGTCTTTAGGCATCTTTTGAATGGAGAGCCAGTCAGTGCTGAACTTCCAATAGTGCACTGCCACTGTTTTTCCAAACATGATAACCCTATGCAAGACATTCAAGAAAGAGTTGAAGCTTTACTGGGAACTTCCTTACATGGTCTTTGTTCTTTTAAATGGGTGAGAAATGTAGCACCCAATAAAGAAATGATGTGCATTAGCTTTCAACTTCCAGCTGAGGTGTTATACAAGCCGCTGACAGGTAAATTCAGCAGTGGAAAATATGTGGGTAAATGGAAGCTTAGTAAAATTTTGCTACCTGACTCAGGATATTTCTTGGGTTGAGATCTAAAGAGCACTGTGGGTCTCTTGTCTCAAATTGACCTGACATATATACCGCACTAACCTATAATCTAGTTAGTCGGCTTGGTTTTGTGTGATTTGTAAAACCAATTGCTATAAATAGTTAATTTGGTTTATTTCTAAGTGATTGTAAAAGATTCTTGAATGTCAGGATTGACATTTCAAAAGATACATTGGGGGATAGAGTACCAAAATAATCCAGTTCCTATGTGGCCCTCTCCTTTCTTTTTCAAGCTCGCTTTTTTATAATTCACTTATTTTGTCCATATCTATTTTAAGGGGTGTTTATTGTATATTGCTAATCTTATGGATTATGAGTTTGAAAGATTTTAATAACGTTCCCCAAATTTTGGCATCAGATTTTCTTTTATAACTCTTTTTTTTTCAACGATTTCTTACTAATGCTGTTCCACTTCTGGGCAACTCTTTGCTGTCTGCCTCAGCTTTCTACCTCTCATCACCTATGCTGATCTATGACCATACAGAAGATGTGATTTCCCTCTCGTGCATGAAACCAGATTGCTTTGATCATTACCACTATCTATATGTATATGTGGGTTTTGATGCTATTTAGCCAAAACCACACAATAATGCTTAGAGACTGTCTGAGAAGCATAAGCTGCTATTAGGTTTGGGTGGGTGGATGGATATACCTGCCATTCAGATATAATTATCTTAAATTTGTTTGTGCAGATGATCCAGAAGAACCTCCATCTAAACGACTATGCCCAAATGAAAATCTCACTGAAGAAAATAATCAAACCACCTAGGAGATATGTGGATCATGACATTAGAATTTTAATTCCATTTTCAAGGTGAGGAAAGTACATTGCATCTGCTCTCTGTGTAACAGCAGTTATCTAATCTGTCTCAGAGTTGGTAATTGCACACTTACGAGTTGATTGTACTTTTAAATTATGTATGTTCTTTTAAATTATGTATGATTAGGGTCAACTCTCTTATTTGAAGAACATTAAATTTTGTATTTTTCCATAATTTGTAGTATTTTGTGTTCAAGCTTGTGTCATTATTCATCCACCAATGAGGAAAGTATAAAACTAAATGAACAAGATGAAGTATTTCTCTGCAGTCTTGAAGTACCCATACATAGGGCATTGGATGTCATTCCTCCTGTGAAGTCTCTGTCCAGCCACAGATCCTGAGCAGCTCCTGAGAAGCTAAGGGGGTTGAAGTAAAAAACAATGAAGTATTTGAAGTATAGTGAAAGTTGCAAATGGTGGTCCCATGAGAGTGGGATTCTGCAAGTGTCATAATTGTGAGCCAGTTGCCAAAAACCTGAATCATGATCATATGACCATGAGACACTACAATGGCTGCAACTTTTGAGGACTGTAAAACTCCTTGTTCAGTGCCATTGTAACTTGGAACAGTTGCTGAAAGAATGGTTATTAACTGAGGAGCATCTTTATTCATAATCTGAATTTTTTACTTCCTTGTTTATAAAAGCAACTGTGTTTATATACACATATCTGATGTTTATATGCTCCTGTTTCAGAGGAAAAGAGAATTCAGGATATGAAATAAAAATATTAGTTTGTAAAACTAGGTGTATGTTATATCTAGAGAGGCCTTCTTGCAGAAAGGTGATTTGGAGTGCGTTTTAATGTCTGTCAGCATCCAGTTAAACATATATTTTCCTGGAATCAAAGAATCTAAAAAAGATGGAGCTTCTCCATGAGTACCACAAAATTCAAAATCATCTTAGAATCTGGATTGTGTATATCCCTATTTATTTCATCTCTTATAACTATCAAAAATCAAACAGGTAGAAAAATGTCAGCCTTCTCCATTCTGAAGAAAAACTGATAGGCATTTGTGTTTTGCACCATTATATTCTAAAAGGCCCATTCTGTTGGAGCTTGTAAAGAAAAACTACACAAAGTTTCAAATAGTTACGATTTCCTTTTGTATGTGTTTTTGGTATTTTTAGAGCCAGATACATAATTGCATATTTACAGAATGACAGTTGTTGCAATCTCCAATGTGGTTCTGATTTCATTGCTCAGAACTCAAGGTATTATGGATGAAAATGTATCTCCGATTCTTGTATCATGCTTCAGGGAAGAAAAATATAATTCATTTGCATTAGATACTGACTTAAGAGAAGAAAAGGCTTTTGGCTTGTAGTAGAATTGCACTATACAGGTTTAATGAAAACAGCATTTCAGTGGTTTTGCAAATAAAAACCTGAAAAGAAGACATAGAAACTACAGAAAATAACAAGAAGGACATCTGGAGTTATTTTTTTAAAATTTTATTAGCCTGTTTCAGAAACCTTAAATACATGAAACGATTGCTCACATCTTCCATTAACATCCCAGGAGAGTCACACAAAGCATCTCCCATTCCTATCCTCAAACCACAGAAAAGAAAAAACATACATGCTACCACTTTTTCTGAATAAAGTTTCTATTTAGTGAATTTTTAATTCTTATGTATAGCTAGATTCACAATGTCTTTTATTTTTTGTTTTTTTTTAAAAAGATAGATGACTGCAGTTTCACCATAGTGCAAACGGCAACAATTTTCACCTGAGTTTTGCTTGCTTGGCTTTGGTGTCTGTTACCCCCCAGTTAGCCAGGATGCCAAAACAGCCCACTGAAGGCTTCTTGAAGGGCTCGATGACAGGCAAGAGAGGAAGTGTAGCCACCAGCAAGATCCTGTGGGGAAGCAGCTCGGACATGGTTTAGATACCTAGAACAAAGAGCAGCATTGTCTAAGCAAAGAAACATTTCATGCTCCACGATGGGAATTGGAAGAAAATCCAACTTCTCTGTGTTCCACTGCTGAACATATTTCTATAGACTGAATCATTCTCAAAAGTCTAGAATTTGGAGACAGGAAAGACTGAACTCAATTTAGAATCCTTGTTGGATTAAATTTATTTATTTTAAAACCTGACCTTTATGCTCTGGCGAGCATTCAGGGTGGCTATAATTCACATAAATTTGGTGTTTCATTTTGTAGCCTAGAGACAGAATTCTCTATACCAAAACAGCCACACCACATGCCTCTCTAACATTTCCTGAACACCTACACAATAATGTGCAGTACTACAGTTTTGGTTTGTTCATAATTGTTCCTATCTTGAGGCCAGAAAAGGCCTAATAACTGAAAACCTGCATTTCTGTTTGTGCGCTCCAAGATACTTCTGAAATGCCAATGAATTCCAAAATTCAGATACTTGCCTGCAAGAAAAGCAAGAGGGAGATGGAATGTCAGCTTCAGTTTTTGGAAATCCCATTTGCTACATGCTGGAAGAACAGCAGCCTCAGCCAACCGAATGCAGTAGCAGTGGCAAGGCTAAAGTTATGAACTACCTCTCAGGGTTTCAACTATCCATTATTTCTTTAAAAGTCTCAAAAGACATGTCATGGAAAAATGCTACGTTTCATTGAAGAAAAGCAGAGCAGCAAAGATCAAAAATAGGAACTCTGTATAAAAGCATAGCTTAGTCTACAGGGTGGGAAGCAAGAATTGCCAAACTTCCTTTCCCATAAATCCTCTGGGTATTTGCTCCCTGGATTCATTCTCCTGCCTTTGGATAGTGGCTCAGTGGTTTTGGCTGCCACAATTTTATCTTCCAGGAGGTACCTCACTAATTCTATCACAAGGGATCTCACTTGCCTGTAACTTGTGGATCTTTCTTTGACCTCTTAGATATTGTCTAAGCCAGCAGAGGCAAAAGACTTTGTATCTTGTCCCTCTTCAATGAAAAGGGCAAGGCATGGCGTTGGCACACCACTGATCTTACAATGCAATTCAGCCAGTCGTCTCTGCCCTTGGCACCATTCAGACCTCAAGAGAGAGCAGCAGAGAGGAAGAACCCAATTAAGCCCTCTGCTATAGTTTGTGCTGTGATGGAAGGATTAAACAGATAAGGACTTACATAAGGATGGGGTTTTCTTTTTAATATACATCAGGGTTAAAATATCGGAAAGGGAGTAACAAAAGCAGTGGGAGCTATCCTATAAATAAGATTTGTGGCCCATGAAACCTCTACCCTGTCAAATGCTTGTCTCTATGAGCATAAAGTACTATCCTGCCTAAGGAGACTGCTAACTGCATTCGGTCTTTAAAAACAGTATAGCAAATGAAAACCAGGTTCCATAGTTTCAATGCAAACTACAAGATTAAGCTATTTTGATTCAGCCTATCTTGGTTTAATTTGCTTCTGGAACAGTTTAATCATTTAATCTCAATGTTTCAAACATAAACCTGGAAGCCATACATAGCCTTTTGTACACTGTCCTGGGAAATTCTGAGCAGCTATTTGCTGGTTGGAACAAACCTGGGGCCACCAGTACACCAACCCAAACAGTTAAATGTTTTAATTTATAATAGTGCACAGTTCCCCAAACAGATGCATAATAAAGCAAGTCAGCTTTTACTGATATATCCTAATGATGTATATACTTAATATTTTGCCTTCACAATTTGTTTTGCTAAGGAGACGAGATACAGCTAAGTTCCACAGAATAAACATATGCTAATTGAAATGTCCTAATTCAAATTAAGCATCTTAATTTTCATAACACCTGACTATATGGTAAACGGCCTGATTAATTTATTAGAGAAATACACAAATAACTTCTGTTCTCACAACTTTTTTCCAGATATCCCAAGAATGTCCTGTCTTGAGATGTAGCTCTCTGGGTAGCCCCTTGATTTAAATCAATGCTAAGTACTTTCTGGACCAACACTTTCACCCTTACCTCCTAGTTTGTATTTGTCGATCTGGCACATATGTTGAGATAGTAGATATTCTGATCCACCAGAAGGAAACATTTAATATTAAATTATTAAGGTTGTTAATTTTTGTGTTAATGATTGCTAATACTGCTGTACATATAATAGCAGGGTTTTCCAGGACTTTAGATTCAGTTCCCGAAAGGTGCTTCAGAATGTGAAAGGACATTACTGTATCATCTGTCACTCTGTTGTTCTTTATGATAACTGAGTCATACTTGAAACTTTTCCCCCCCAAATATACTTAAATTGTAACAATTAGTGTGCTGCAAAGCCCATCCTTTCCAATCTGCATTTTACTCTAAAAGACACAAATAAGGCAGTGGTAGGCTGCTGACGGTTCGGACCAGTTCTAACGAACCAGTAGTTCGACCAGCTGGCCGGCGCCAACCTTTTCCCGCCCTATCCTGTCCTATATTTCCTTCTTTCTGACTCAGCTGATCATGAGGCACAGCTGATTTCCATGCCTCAGCTGTTCTACTTACCAAAGCTGCCCTAGAAGGTAAGCAATTGAGCTTCAAATTGCTGTTTTCTTAAAAGCTGCGTGCACGCACTCACAAAACCAGTTATTAAACCAGTTGCAGACCACCACTGAAATAAGGTCAGTTCACTAGTAAGTAACAAATTTGGAAAACCAAGACCCAACAGAGAATTAATGAAAATACAAAGGACTTCATCCCAACGAACATATACAAGGAAATAATGTGTAATGGCAAATAACCCTGCATAATTATGCTCTTTTATATATCGGAATGTAGTACTACAAAAGGCAGGTGAAAAACCACTGAAAGTACAGTTGTGTTAAAACATTGCACCATAGAGATTTTCGGGGGAGATGTGGTGGACTAGCACATCTCCAAATGAGTGGAGGCAGTAGCAGCAGTGAAGACCAAATAACCCGCAAATAGATTGGTCCTACAGAACCTCTCTGGATAAGAGCAGGAGACCAGATTACCCATATGTGCTCCAGAAAGCACAACAAAGGTCTCCTGTGGGTTTGAGTGTCCGGAGATGAAGTATCCCATGTTTCCAACCATGGTGCAATCTTTCAAGGACACTGGTTTTGCTAACCTTACTTTGCAATCTCTCTTGGATATTACCAAAAAAAACCAATATTTTCCATAAAAATATTATTTAGAAACCATTTTGCAGTATGGAAATTGATGCATCTTAAAAATAAATAATTCACATTTGCTCAATAGTCCATATTGGCACTAATTTCCTACTACTTCATGTTATAAACTGAAGGCTGATTTCTTACTTCATTTCAGAGTATTTTCAAAGCCTTCAAATCAACATCTCATCATTCAGATAACACTCAATAATTAGGGAATCGAATTTTTCCTATCAGTAACCAGTTCTAGAGTAGCATAAAATGCAAAATGTGGTCTAAAGATCTAGAACTCCACCAAGAGCGTGATCATTCTTTGAGATTTCTTTTTCGAAGAGCTATGTCCTAAAACCCCACAATGGAAGTTTTGGACACTTTTATATCAAATCCATATCTGAGTTATTTCAGTCTTTCTGGTCATCACATTTCTGAATTAGATTTCTGAGGTTGCTGGCAGAAATCCCTTATCTTTTCATATATGCTACTTTACTGCTGCATCAGTGGCTGGGATGGAATAAGGTGACTTATCATTTGAAGGAAACAGGGCACACTTGTGGGCCAATTAAGGACATTGAAATGTGTAGCTAAGTAAATTTTTGAAGACCAATAACCCTTGAAAGAAGGAAGACAGTCTGGTCAGTAAAGTACAGATCTTCTCCCCATAGATACTGCTGATGGTGAGAGCAGAACAAGCCTTCTGGTTTGGAAAACCATATTACAGAAAGAAGATTGCTACGAGTTTTCATCAGAGCAAAATACTAAGGCAGACTCCACTTTCAGCTTTGTATAAACAAGCCTTTCAGTGACCTTTTAGCCCAGTAAAAATCCTATGATACTGTGGCCTAGAGGGATTTCATCAATACTGTTTTGTTAAAGACAAGAAGCAGGCCAGTATAGATAGGAGGTTTAAGGTGACAAAAACATCGCTAGGTCTACCATTCTGTTATTTTAACAAACAATAATTAAACTTATATAAAAATACCAATGATGTCCTTTAGTTCAAATATTGATCAGATACCTCTGTTTCCACAAGTCACTGTGGGATAAAGCAAAAGAAGAAAAACTAGTGCTTCTATAGTATATAGAGAATTTGCTATGGCATGAGTACCAACTAACCTTTTCTTCTTTCTTTCTTTTTTAACTCAGAAAAGCATAGAAATATTCAAGTTATCACCAGCAAAAATCAGGTTTAAAAAAAGAGTTTCCAGCTCAACACATTTGACTATACAAATTATGATCTTATCCATTCTAAAATTATTTGATTATTAGCAGACACTTTTTGGTTAGAATAAAATTGGTCACTATAAATAGGAAATAGCGTGAACTTTCTTTCATAAGTCATCTTAATGCAATTATTGGGCCTTAAATCTCCCACTGAAGCCTACACAAGTGCATAAACAAGGCTGGCTATTATCTCAAACCCAAAATGAAAAAGTGTACCCCCAATCAAAAACATTTGCTTTATAAGGTCATCAATTTAAACTTAA